TCACAATATTTTTATAACCTGTTTCTTACTAAATTTGTTAGTGTAGGTAGATTAAAAAAAAAATAAATTGTTTAGTTAGGCCCTTACCTAACTCTCTTCGAACCAGGATATTTTTACTTATCTAGCGTCTGTGTCAGAGGTAGAGCTATGGTCTGAAAGACTAGGTTTAGGAGGGCTGGGAAAGTCTATCCCTCATCACTGAAGAGAAAGTACACCCAGAAGAAGAGATATGCTTGGTAATGGAAACTCTAAACCACAACACTGAGACCTTTGGAGAAGAAAGAGACTTTAAAGAATCCACAAGGTCTTTGGTCTTTGGAATTGTCTTGTTTAAAAGCCGTGTAATGTTAGTAAATCAATGTATGCTTTCCTCTGAAGACTTAGGATCCTACATAACAGCAGCAGCAGCAGCAAGCTTCAGCAGATTTCTGGGGGAAAGCTTTTGCCAGGACCAGTTGGAGCTGGTTGTGTTGAATGTCAGGAGTAATTCTCATATGGCTTTAGGTCACCCTGAGATCAGCTCAGTTGGTTAGAGCATGGTACTGTTAATGCCAAGGTCATGGATTCGATCCCTGTGCAGCCCATTCACTTAGGAATGTGAGTGGTTTCCAGCTCAGAATATTCTGTGATTCTGTGAAGTTGGGTGGGAGCAGCTTACCTGTGGATACACTTTCCTAGAGAGACCAGTGTTCCCACAGAATTGTAATATGACTTCTCAGCATTGAACATGCGTGGCTAATGCAGGAACTCAGAGGAGTGCAATCCTGCATTTCAGTGCAACTCAAACAGAAGAGATTCAGATTGATGCTGTAGCCCATATGTCCATATTAACAATAGTTTCCTCCTTTTATCTGTTGAAGATGATTTATGGTTTGGAGTAGAGCTTTTAACTCAAGCAGTGTATATCCCATCTGTTTTATCATGGGAAAGGACATATTGCTGCTGTTTTACAACATAGCTTTTTGTGACTTAGCTTGCAAATCTAAGCACCAGTCAAGCTTATGGCTATGAGGTTGTAAGACAAATGCTGGATTTCCTTAGGTGCAATTTAAAAAATCATCTGGATACTGTGTGCCCTGCCTCAGCATCACAGTATTCTGGCATGTCCCCTGATAAAAATGTTTGTTACTTCCATTGAAAGGTCTTGGCTGTCACATCCGTGCGGCTCCCTAGATCAAGGTCCCAGATCATAGCCTGAAGAGGGAGGACAAAAAAGAGTTAGCTGAAATTCCTGGCAGAAGGCTGAAAGGAAGGTGCTTATACACCATCTACATATTTTTTGAACCTTTTTCATCCAAAAGCTGGAGACCTTCTAGTGTTCCGAGTGGAAAAAATTCTGAAACTGTTCTCCATAGGATTTTTTTATTTGTTAAGCAGGTACAATTTTGATGACACCCTTATTGAATCTGTTTCCAGTTTAGTTCTCTTTCTATATTATCCAGTAATCCTGGGAATCAGAAAAATCTTTATTCCTAAATATAGCTGTGAGGGCTGTGACCAGAATTTTAAGGGTCCAGGGTCCTTCAGTAGCCTGCCAGGGTTTGCCTACGGACCTACAGTGGTGGTTTGCCTTTCGCTTCCACAGCAAGGTTTGAAAGTTGGGGGCTGATTCTTTCAAGTACCTAATTTTGAAATACTGAAATGTTATGCTTGCCATGCTGTATATTTAGTCCCATTTATGAGTGTAAATCAGTTTCTTGCACTTGGTGTCCATTTTCGGATAGTGACCACTATCAGATGCTGAAAAAGATGCTGTAATGTGTCTTAAAATGGCAATTTTAGGAACTTACCTGTTGATGCTTCCTCCAGCCATTGGCCAGGAACATGGAGGCTCTGTGTTTTCTGAAAGACTCAGAAAGTGACATTTTGCCTGTAAGTTACATTAAAAACAAATACAGCTTGAAGCCTGAACAGCATAAAGTAATTTTAAACTACTCCTGAAATTGTCAACAGGATTTCTTTCTCTCAAAGAGAACAGTGTACAGTGTTGCTTTTATCTTTATTGTGCAATGTTTCTGCTTACAAGGAAAACACTCTGAAGTTTCCAGGTGCACAAAATACACTATTTGGGTAGTGATTTGAAACCTAAGCAGTTGCTGCATTTTGCTGCTTTCAGTGGTGGAACTAAAGCTGAATTAATGCAGTATAAGTATTTTTTCTGAATGCTGAAGTGAACGGATTAGGTCAGTCTTTTACTCCCTTTGTGTTGCCTCTCTAAAGATTTTAGAGATCTGAGTTTGCTGTAGTTGTCTGAATCAATTTTCCAAGCAAACATTTGTAGAACAAAATTTGTTACTGGCTGTGGGAGTGTGGAGATAGTTTTTTGTTTGTTTGTTTGTTTGTTTTTTCCCTCCTCATGATGTGAATTTTGCAAATAACAGTTACTGTGGGATTTATCTAAACACTTGCTGCTAAGGAGCAGAGTTTCAATGTTTGATGGAGCATTTTAGGCATACAGAGAATTGTTTACAATCAATTCAGTAGGGAACATGGCTGGAATAAATTTAAATAGTGAACACAGTTCTGAAAACCATTATGTGGAAAGGACTACAAAATCTATTTATTCAAAATTGCAGTTTCATAAAAACCAAAAATGTGTTTAGAAAAAAAATTACTTAAAAGTCATAAAACTGTGCAATCAATTTGTGGTCTGGCAGCACTTTTTAGTATAGGCAGCTTTACCTTTTGTGGTAGCTACTGTGATTTTTTTTTTTTTTTTTGCTGCAGCAAGGCTCTCTTTTTACTTGTGAGAATGCTCTTTTTCTTCATTCTCTTATTTCAAAATGTAAGGTGGAAATATGCAAGTTATTTTAGTTTAATCAGGCAGATTTAATGATTTATTTTTGCTTATTTTATCTGTGAGATATAATTTACTGTAACAGCTAACATGGAAACTTGAGCTGTAGCAACTCAGTTATACTTCTTCGTCTGCTGCAGTCTAGGATTCAGCATGTCTGATTGAGGATAGGACCAAAAAGGATGGAGCCTGCATATTCCTGTTGTGGACAGGGACTGGTCCAGTAACCATCTGGACCTAGAGAGAGAATTACAGAGAATATGATAATCAGTTCTTTCATGTGCTGCTGGAGGATCTGCAGCAGCTGAGCGAGTGTTGCTGTTCTGGAGCCTGGGTTTCCGTGGTATAAGATATGTGAGCCAACAGCGGGGACCAGCCTTTCCACTCCCTTGTCTTTTATACTTACAGGCAGACCCTATGGGAAACAGGGCAGAAGCATCTTAAAAGGAATGGGTACTGCAGGATATATTAAGGAAAGAGATATTGTGGGGGAATGGAATGGAGTGGAATAGAACAGAGACATTTCAATTGGAAGGGACCTACAACGGTCATCTCATCTGAGTGCCTGACTGCTTCAGAGCGGATTAGAAACTAAAACCTGTTACTAAGGGCGTTGTCCAAATGCATCTTAAACACACTAATGAGTCTGACATCTCCCTAGGAAACCTTCACAAGTGTTTGACCTCCCTCTCCATAAGGAAATGCTTCCTAAGATCCAATGTAAACCTCCCCTGGTGAAGCATTGAACCATTGCCGTGTGTCCTGTCACTGGTTACCAGAGAGAAAAGATCCAATGAGTAAAGATGCCCTTCCTCAGGGTGCTGTAGAGCAGTGAGGTTGCTCCTCAACCTCTTTTTCTCCAAACTAGAGAAGCTTTGAGTCCTTAGCTGCTTGTCATAGATCATTCTTTCCAGGCCTCTCAGCAGCTTTGTTGCCCTACCTGAACATATTCAAGGACCTTCACATCCTTCAGTTGTGGTGCCCAGAGCTGCACACAGTGCTCCAGGTGAGGGTGCACCAGTGCTGAGCACAGTGGGATAATCACCTTTCTTGAGCAGCTGGTGATTCTGGATTTGATGCACCCCAGGATGGGGTTTGTCCCGTTGGCTTCCAGGACACGCCTCTGGTTCTTGCTGTGCCTGCTGCCAACCAGCACCCCCAGATCCCTTTCTGCAGAGAGGCTCTCCAGCCACTCTTCTCCCAGTTCATTCTTGTGCCTGATGAGTCCATCCCATCTGGAGAATCTGGTGTTATGACTTGTTCATGCCATTAATCACTGTCCAGTGCTCCAGTCTGTGTAGATCCCTCTGCAAGGCCTCTTGTCCTTCCAAGAGTCACCTCCCATTTTGGGATCATCAGCAAATGTGCTAAGGATGGATTCAACTCCTGCCTGCAGGTTGTTGGTAAATGTATTGGACAGACCTGGCCCTAGAATTGACCCCTGGGGAACACCACTGGTGACCAGTTGTCCCCTTTGAGCTCTGCCATTCAGCCAGTTCTTCACCCAGCACAGCCTGCAGCCACTCACCCCACAGCTGGACAAGTTGTCCTGAAGGATGCTGTGAGGGACAGTATCAATAACATTACTAAAATACAGAATAACCACATCCATCACCTTTTCTTCATCGACTGGGTGGGTGACCTTATCACAGAAAGATAACAAGTTAGTTAAATAGAACTTTCCCTTTGTGAAGCCATGTTCTGTCAATTTCTGAAATAGGAATATTTGATTTCTTAAAATGAACCATTCTTTTATACACAGTATTAGACTGGTGGTAACTAAATTAGAGTATTGTCTTTTGCTCTTTGATTGCAATTCTTATTCTTTGTTTTTCTTCTTTTCTGTTTCCCTACCATTAGTTTGACTTTTTAAATTTATATGTTAAATAATTTTGATTTGATTTAAAGGAAATGTTACCAAATGGGAAAAATTTTATGCAAGTCAAGTATGCTTTCCATCCAGAATACCAAAATAGTGTATACTTGCATAATTTGACTGAAAATGTACAGAAAGCAGTAATCTTCTTACTGAAATGTGACTTGGGCAGAAGTTGCTGCCTTGGTTGCAAAAAAGGTTCCTTAAAATTTTAGGTTGCAGAACTTCTTGTTTAAATAAGCATCATTTGCTTTGTGATTTCATGTGTAAATAACTGATGAAACGTTAATTTTATTGATGTGTGACTCTGACCTTTTATTTCCTCAGCCATCATGTACGTAATGGGAGCACTTGGACCTGCAGCTGGATACTTACTAGGAGGACTTCTCATTGGGTTCTATGTTGATCCTAGGACAACTGTGTATATTGACCAGAGTGATCCTCGATTCATTGGAAACTGGTAAGGATCAAGCATTTTTCAAAACTATTCTCTCAATTGCCAGTACAGAATTGTACAGCTTGGAAGATTTTATCCCTTGAGGATTTATTTAAGGTTGCAGAAGGAGGCCGAGGAAGATGATGTTTTGATTGATTACTACACACTGGCCTCTGAGAGAGAGGAAAGATTTGCCACAGGAGTGCTCAGGAACAGTGCATGGAAAAGCCCCTAGGTTTGGCTGTTCAGGACTGTTCCTGACCACAGTGGGCACTGATTGACAGCGCTTATCACAGGGACGGCAGGGCTGAATATTGGTGTTGCAGGAGGCCATGGATGATCTCTGCTGCCCAGAACCAACCCCTTCCTAATGAAAGTTGGATTAATCTCTTTGGTTTTCCAGGGGAGGCAGCATGAAACACCGAAGTCTGCTGCCCAGATGAGAAACACTCAACTTTACTGATCCTCTTCCAGGTGAAGGAGATAGGATGAGGTCAGAACATGCTCTTTCCAGTCTTTGTTTCTCAGGGTGATGGCTTGTATTTAGGCAGCAGATGCTGTGAAGCATCACATTATTGTCTAGTAAGGAGTAGGCTTCCAGCAGTAGCTGATGTCTTCAGGCAGCCTTTGAGATGTGGCCTCCTTGGAAATGTGTCTTTGAGGAAGCAGATCCTGAGGAGGCTTTAACTGGCTTTTCTCAGATAAATCATAAACTTGCCTTGAAGTTTACATGCAATCCCAGAAGAAACCTCAAGTTCATTATCCCAGGAAGAGACCTCTGCTTTGTTGATGTAAGGTGCAGTGTCAGTTCTCATGCCCTAGGTTAGTGTTTGTCACTGCGCCACTGCTTGCAGTCTGTATCTGTTTCTGTTTATTCTGCAGTGATCTTTCCTGACAGTTTGATATGAAAAATTCTCTCTTTGGAGTCTTCTTAAACCTTTAAAGATTTAGTCCTGCTTTATTGGTTTTACTTAGTCCAAGAGCATTGCTGCACTGTTTTGTTGAATTTTCAGCAAGAGAAAGGCAAAGCTGAGTGCAGCCTTGGGATTAACAACTCCCTGCTCTGATTTATCTACTGATTTATCTCACTGAAGAGATCTGTTCTGTGAGTGTGAAGCAATGTCAAAATTTGGACTATTCTAGTATAAAAGGTTTGGAATCAAAGCATAATATTATACATTCTTTGTAAAGTTCTTACACTTTATGTGTTTTTAATGACATGTCAGAACTGGTAATCAGCATTTGATCAGTACTTTTTGATAGAAATTGCAAATAGGCCCATAAATAGATTTGTTAATTGAAATCAGTAGGGCTGTATGAATGTGGGATAAACTTTTGACTTTACCTATAACAAAACCACTGATATAACTGAGTTTTAACTCAAGCATCTTCAGCAAAAGTAAAATAGCCAAAGCAACAAAGTCAGTAAAAGTCATTCAGTTTTCATTTGTTATCTTGTTGATTAAATCTGTAGGGTCTGGACTTCCTTGAAGGGTATTCCAGGTCTTTTTATTTCTCTTTAATTTTTGGCTGTGTTAGTTCTTTCTCTCTTAAATTTCTGAGGAGTATCAACTGCTATCAGGTCTCCGATAATTTGTTGAACAATCTGTCATGGCCTCTCATGAAAGTTTAGTCGTGTTCATAGCATTTGTATCTCATTCTGAAGCTAAGTCTACCCATTAAAAAAAAAGCAAGACCCCCATGGTGAGAGGGTGAAACTTTTGTCCCTTGGTGCTCACTAACAGCCTGGTTGCAGAGAATTCTGGAAGTATAGACTTTCATTCCAATTAAATGTATTTTCTGGGACTGTGACATTTTGTCCTTGCAGGGAAGTGCTACGTAGTCAAGTTTATTTTTATTTATGCAATCTAACAATTTGAAATGTAAGAGTATCCCAACACTTACTGCAGCTGACACACTTTGAAAGTATGGTTCAGTTGAGACAACTTAATGGGAAGTCATATATGAGATTTCTGAGTCTTCCTTTGAAGTGAATTACTGTCTTTGATTCCTATATTTTCTTTATTTCAGCTGTAAGGTTCCTCATGTAACTTATCATGGGACCCAATTTAACAATTTCCATTGTAGAGGAGGCAATGCTTACAGACAAAATAGGAATATAACAACTGTGATACATGGCTAAAATAAAAGCAATATAGCCTTTTTTTTTCCCTTAAGCTGTTCCTTTCTAGGAGATGTATTGGAGGACATGAAGTTTGGTTTATCTGTCGTGCAGCATGGTGAGGTAAAATTTTTCCAGGTTATTTCTGATCTGATTATTCCTTGAATTTCACAGGACCTGGATTTCTGCTCCTAGGTTTTGCACACCTGGGATTTCTGTAGCTGCTCTGGGCTAAATTACAAGCCAGCTGTCTATGCCAGCCCATCAAATGTTTGAAACTGTTTTTTATTCAAATGTGGTAACTGTAGGGATATCTTGTAGAAATCATTCATCATGTTGTTGTCTTTGAGAACTGTTAATGTGCTATATAGGGACCTCGTTAGTTGTGGAGTAGCCCCTGGCAGTCTGTCAGGTGCTTTAAATCAAATTTTCTTTTGCTGACACTTTTCTGAGTGTTTTCCTAGTTCAGAATCTGTTTAATGCTTGGATCTTCCTATATAGTCTTTCATCAACATTCCACCAAAGAAGTTTAAAGGAATTCCTTCAGCATTGTCTGGTCCTTCCTTAGCTTTAATTGCTTTATTTGAGGTCCTACGGCTTGTGCGGATGCCTTTGAGGTATTCTTCTGCATATTTTCTTTGACTTTAGAAGACAGAAAATCAAGGGCTTTTTAAATTACTATAGCTCCTGTTCTGACCTCCCAATTTCCCATTGTAGGTGTCCTTATTATTTTTTACATATTTTACCGTCTTTTGTCTGTTTTCCAATTGTTTGATATTTCTCCAGGAAGTTGTGAAGTGTAGATGGTGAGATAATTGCATCCAGTGCTGCATTTGTGACATCTCCAGCATTTAGTATGCTGTCATAACTGTCCCTTTGGATTTGAATTTCATCTCCTTCTGCATTACAGGCCCTGTCTCCTTTGCTGTTTCCTCCTGAGTGGGTGGTTGCAGATTTCCACATATTATTGCCACAGATTGTTTCTTTGATCAGTGTCTTTGCAGCTTCTGCCTTTGAGATCCTGAAAGGGATGTTGCTACATTTTTATACAGACTACGGATTTATTCCGTCTGACAGTGCTGACTAATCCTCCTAAAAGTCTGCTTTCTAATCCATGTATGTTATCAGCTAAAATGAATGGAGGATTTTCTGTTTACATAATATCAAAATTAGTCAAAACTTTCAGTCACTTATATTTGCCTTGCAAAAGCTTCCTGTAAGCTTCTAATAAAAATAATGTTACACATGGCTGTTTTTTGTTGTTTGCCTGTGTGTAATAATTCACCATATAGTGCGTTACTTATGAATTTATTTTCATTGAAAAATAAAGTTTGCAATATTTTTGCATTACAAATACGAGGCCAAATGCTTTTTGTTTCTTGGGCAAGAAATCCTATCTACTCACAATTTAAAATGTTTAAAGTTTGAACAAATATATAATTAATACTGTAAAAATAGTACAAAAGTATGTAAAAATTGTTTTTGTGTTTGGTTTGCCTGGCAAGGTTTTGGTAGCGGGAAGGCTACAGGGGCTTCTGTGAGAAGCTGCTGAAAGTTTCACTTCTACCTGAGAGAGCCAGTATCAGCCAGCTCCAAGAGGAGGCTGGCTGAGGTTGAGACCATCAGTGGTGGTGGTAGCACCTTTGAGACAACATATTATGAAGGGGGAAACAGAAAGGTGTGCAACACCAGCAGCAGTCAGAGGAGAGTGGAATGAGAACATGCGATAGAAACAGCTCTGCAGACCCCAATGTCATTGAAGAAGGAGGAGGAGGTGGAGGTGCTCCAGGTGCCAGAGCAGAGATTCCTCTGCAGCTAGTGGGAGCCTTTCATGACATTTTCTCTCCCCTCTCCTGCCAAGGATGGGGAGTGATAAAAATGGCTTTGGTGATAAAAATGGCTACCCCATGACAGGTGGGTACCTAGCATTCAGCTAGGGTCAGCACACGGAGATTATGGAAATTTGATATGAAATGAAAAAGCTGTCATTGTCGTGGTTGGCTGCTAAAGTAACATGACTGACTTACTTGAATTTCCAAATACTAGCATAGATTTGTGTGGTGGATTGTCTTTGGCTGGCTGCCAGGTGCCCACCAAGCTGTCTCACTCCCCTTTCTCAGCAGAACAGGGAGAAAATACGATGGAAAGCTCATAGATTGAGATAAGGATGGAAAACCCTCATTAATTACTGTCATGGGCCAAGTAGACTTGAATTAGGGATATTAAATTTATCACCAATTAATAACAGAGTAGGATAGAAAGAATTAAAAATAAACCTACAAGCACTTCCTACCCACTCTATCCTTCTCCCAAAGCTCAGCTTCGCTCCTGACTCTTCTACATCCTCCACTGGAGTGATGCAGTGGCCTGTGGAAAGGGGGTTGTGGTCAGTTTGTAACACCTTGTCTGTTGCTCCTTCTGTGCTTCAAACAGTCTTTTATTAACTGGTCCAGCACAGATCCTTTCCATGGGGTGCAGTTCTCCAGGAACAGAATGTTCCAGCATGCAGCATCCCCCATGAGTGACATATCCTGCCTGAAAATTTGCTCCTGTGGGTGCTCTTCTTCACAGGCCACAATTCCTGCTCAAGCCTGCTCCAGAGTGGATTCCCAACAGCCTGGAGGTGGTCTTGTCCTGGGCCTGCACGTTAATCTCTGCACCTGGAGCCCCTTCTCTCCTTCTCTTGCCTTGAGTCTGCAGGGCTTCCATATTTTATTCTGTAGTTTCTTCCATATTTTCTCACTCCGTTCATACAGTTGCTGTGAGTGTTTTCCTCTTAAATAAGTGAACACCAAGGTGCACAAACATTCTGATAGACTCAGTGTTGGGTAGTGGTGGATCTATTTTAAAACTGACTGGAGCTGTTTCTGTCCAGCATGGGACAGCTCATGGTGTCTTCTCGCAGAAGCACCTCTGCAGTCCCCACTGTGCTACCAAAACCTTGTCATGAAAACCTGATACAATGAGATGAGTCTGTAGTGAAAACTGCACTTCCAGTATGTAAGAAGAACTTTTTGGGTGGATTCAGAGGTTGTCCTTCTTTATGGAACCAGTTATGTGAGGTTATATTTCCATTAGCCTTTCCCAGTTAGAACTCAAAGGAGAAATGATGTTATCATTTGACACTGCTATCAGTGTTCTGGCTGCGGACTTAACTCTATACAGAATTTCTAGTGAAGTCCTTTTGCCCATCTGTGCTGCTGTGGTGAAGTCCATGAAGCTTTTTGGCTGCAGGGAGGACAGTTGTATGTGGCTGAAGAGGTCAGTTCTGTATCCCACACATAGTTCCTTCTTCTGCCATACCTTCAGGGTATGTCCCAGGTCATTGTCTGAGAGCCAAGGGATCATTTCAGGGTTGTTTTTATATCCCATATTTTAAAGACAGAGGGAGAGAAGAATAAATTCTTTCTGAAGACTATTTCAGGTTGCAGTCACAGAACAGAGTTTTGGGCATGAACCCTGGCAATGAATTGTAGCACATCAGTTCTTTACATTCAGGCTTTGGGAACTCCTCAGTTGTGAAGGAAGAGAATGGGACAGTCAGGGCAGTGAGAGGTAGGCACTGGAAAGCAGAACAGATTTAGCCCTGATGTATGTATCAGGACATTCTATCTTCTCATGACATGGATAGCTTTTTCTGTGTTCTCCAGAGAAATTCTATATTGCTTTACTGGGAATTCTCTGTGAAAGGCTAAGTCAAAGTGAATTCTCAGCACTTGGTACTGAAAAATTACAAAAACTGAAAATTTGTGGTAACTTAAAGCTGACACTATTTAATAAAATTTGATGAGTTCTGGATAAATACCTTTCAGTAAATAAGCCAACAGAAGCATCTTCTGATTAAGGAATTCAGTGCAGTGAAGATTCTCCCCCACTGCAATTCTTTACTCTTAGGTTTTCATGTTTTGCAAGTGTGTCTTTCCAGCCAGTGCAGCTTCTAACACTAACTTTGATTTTTTTTGTTTCACATAATGTTTTTGCTTTTGTTTCCATTTCTGTTTTCTTGGCATTAGGTGGAGTGGATTTCTCCTTTGTGCCATTGCAATGCTCCTTGTGATATTTCCCATGTTTACCTTTCCGAAAAAGCTCCCTCCCCGACATAAAAAAAAGAAAAAGAAGATGAACTCTGCTGATGTTTCAAGTGATGATGATGTGATGAAAGAGAAAACAAGTAGCAAAACAGAAACAGACAGTTCAGTTTCTGCCTCTATGGGATTTGGAGAGAATGTTAAAGGTAAAGTTCTTCTTAATTTATAAATGCTTTAGATTTTGTGTGTCTTGGGTCATCCAGGATTGTATGAGTGTGATTGAAGACAGTTTTGACATCCTATATTTGCTATTACGTTTTTGCTATTGAAATTTAAGTAGTCATCCTCTAAAATGACAGGCTGCAGCAGTGATTATAGGACATCCATTTTCTTGTTACCGCATGAGTTTGTGCACCTGAGTTTGTAACTGTCACACTTGCTTTATAAGCTGAACTTCATGGAATAAAGTGCTCTTCTACAGTATGTGTGAAACAACACACATGTCTGGTATGTGAGTTCAATTACATTCATGCATTTGGGTAAGTTCACAGAGAAAGATGATTTGTTTCATACTCCTTTCCTGTCTGTTTTGTACTGCAAACTGTTTTCTGAAGGCCTAGACAAATAAAACCTGTGCTTAGTTTGAAACAAGAAGAGATCGAAAGATTGACAAGTAGTAAAGATTTTTATTTTTTTTTGAGGAGTAGCCATTAATATAAAATCTAACAGTAAGTAATAATCATTGACAAATTGCCTGGGGAAGGAGAGCAGTGTTGCTACAAATTTATTAATGTGAAGCATATAGAATTTAAATTGACAATACAGACTTGGCAGTATCATAAAATTGAATAGTATAGGACAAGAGTGAATGTGCCTCAATGCCATTGTGTTGTTAGTGCTGTTGTGTCCTCCTTGGATTCTAAGATGCAAGTACTGGTAGTGCCATTTCATGGTAGCCTGATAAAGGCAGTGGGACTGGGAGAAACCATGAAATATCTATTGTACCATCAGACATAATTTGAACTCAAAACTTTTAGGTGTTTGTTGAAATAGACATTAGTGTTACTTTTTACTTGGATATCAGTCCAGGCTATAATGATTGGCAGACTTTTTAAAATGAAACATTTATGATCACTTTATGCTGAGTAGACAAGGCTTAGCAAAACCAGCTGTTTTTAGTGTAATTTTAAGTTATGTTTGCACACCTCCATATTGATTTGCTCTGTATTACATTTATACTGCTTCTCTCTCAGGGTGCCTAAAGTTACTGTTAACTTCTACAGAAAAAAGAGGATAGCAGTATTTTCGTGGTGTGATTTTATTAGCTCACAAATCAGCTTCTTAAGATACAAGGCAAGCAAAGAGCAAGCAAAGTGAACCTCAAATACCAGAACTTTCAGACCGTGTTCTCCCTTTGTTGCCAAAGTGGTTGAAAATGTGATGGAGAAGCAAGAAAAGCATGTTCCTTCCTCCTTTAAAGACTCCATTCTGCATATTTGTGAGCCCCAATACATAATATTTTCTCCTCAATCCACACAACTAGTTGTGTGTTTTATTTGCCTTCAAACCTACTGGCTTCTGATTAGTGGAAATAATTCAGGGTTTCTTCTGTCAGTATTTTCTCAGTAACATAGGGAATTGGGGGAGTCTAGTCTTTGCTGGACTCCTTCCTAATGATTGCAAGCAATGTCACAGCAGAGGGACTGCTTCACCCTTAGGTGTGCCTGGTGAAGATAACAGATACACAGATGAAGTTCATCTGGGTGAATTTGCTGACACATAATTTCACCTTCTAGGCCATACAGGCACAGCAGATGCAGAAAAAACAAGTATTTGCTTGGAAGAATGTTCTCTAGGACCCTTTTTTACAGAAATAAGAACTTCTGTATGTCTCATTTTGGCATGTGTTTCTTTGGTCTGTATCTGCCTTGATGTGTAACATGCATTCTATATAATTCTATATTAATGGAGCTACCAAATTAGAGCTTTTACTGTACAAAACTTTAAATTTTTTTTTAGAGGAGAAACTTCACCATGTGGAACAGTGAAAAGAAACATGCCAGAAAGATAGTGAGGTAGTTGAGATAAGCAGAAAAAGTATTTTACTGTAAGCTGATAATAGCTTTCCCATTTAGTGTCAGTTACCCTAGCAAAGAAGGCCTGCAGCAGGAGTGCACTATTATTTAATTATTTTTCCAATTTAAGTGGGCTTTATAGAATAAGATCTTGCCTCAAGCTTTTCAGCTGAGGTAATTTTGTTTATAATGGGAAGGAAAAAAGGATCATATGTGCCTAGGTCATTTAGCACTGCTTCTTCTGAGATGCAGTGAACATTTTATACTTTCCATTGAATTTCAGAGCTTCATCTTTTTATTGCACTATAGGCAGTAACTCCACTTGGGCAGTGACCAGGAGACTGTTGATTTAGTAGGTCATATCTTCTGTTCTGTACTAATAAATATCAATGATGTCATAGTCTGCCATGACAGAGATCAGTGCCATCACATATCTGTAAAGAAAGTAAATGTTTTGTTCTTCCAATATGATGTCATCTTACCCAGGAAGCCTGGCAAAATGATTTTTGCCTTGTTGTAATTTGTCCTAATTTCCTGATTAACTCTCTAGGTGAATGAAAAGAGCTCAAAAAGTTACGAGAGTCTTTTTTTCTGCACTGAATGCTTGTATAGGCTGAAGAAATAAACCAAAACTGGCTCCATCCAGAAGTAGTTTCAAGTTTCAGTGACTTGAGCTTTATTTTGGCCCATGGTAGAGCTGAGATTAGATAAAACTACAGATACAACTTTGCTTTTTCACATGTTTCAAGTTGCAAGGGCTTGGAATTCAGTCTTTTCTTACTTACGTTTCAAGTAGTAAATGTGAGCTGAAGAATGCTTCTGAGTCAGGAATCAAAAGTATTAAATAAAAGACTAAGTAGGTCACAGGAAGAAGAAAATTTGATGTAGTTTATTGGGGAAAAATAGAGGAGGTGTAGATTACATGAGCTAGAGGAGTTTATAATGAAGATACCATGGTTAAATCCCATATGTGCAGATACTACATGAATCTGAGCAGACAAAACTACTGTTTACATTTATTATCTAGATACCCTTAAGGTTTGGTACCGTGGAAATTGTATCTGCAGTCCTTTTCACTTACCACTATAATGCAACTTACTGTGCAATTGAATAAAGGAGCAGTGTGAAGAAAGCAAATGTGTATATTACTTAAAATAGAATTATCTAATCTGAATTAAATAATTAATCTAATTAATTATATATATTTTGTAGCCTTTGGGTTGTTTGTTTTTTTTTGTTTTGTTCCTATGTACAGCCCTTTCTTAAATGTAGAATATTCCTGTCTGCCTTTTCATATCTAGCAGCTATCGTATGCCTTTCTCAGTGAGTTCCAGGGACGGACAGAGACGGGATAAAAATGATTGTCAGGGCATCAGCAGAAATAAAAGAAACTCCTGAGGGGCTTGTGACTGCAGGATAAGCCCACTGAAGTGCTTTGCCAAGGATCTGGATTGGAGTTTCTGTGCTGCTTGAAGATCAGCTGACAGGATCAGAAGAGGAGCAGGAGACAGTGGGCTGTGTGTGGGGGCACTTGGTGGGCACTGTAAATGTCAGAGGGCTCCACAGACCATGGGCTGGAGATCCTGCAGTGCCACTGACCTTGAGCAAGGCACTTCCTTCTCGTCCTTTCTTGGGCTGTCCTGAAGAGCTCAAAATAGAAAAGATTGGCATAGCTCCATGCAATGATGAGCAGTGTTAACTGGAACCTCGAGGACCTGCTCTAAATCACATTAAAATAAGTAATATTGATATCGAACTGGTTCTGAACCCCTCCTCTCTTGATGGGATTAAGATCAGGCACTGTTCAACAGTCCAGCCACCAGCCAGGAATTTAAGGCCTGTCCTGAGAATCGAATGAGGTTGTTTAAATGGTGTTGATAATGAAATGGCAAAATACTACTCTAGAGATCAGTGATTAGCTCCATGCAGGATATATTTGATGTAGTTGTGTGTCGCTTCGCTGGTTTCCGTTCTGATAAACGAACCAGAAATTCTGTCTAAAATCTTGGCTCTGCTTTGTACTGCACAAGAGTGGAAGCTTCCCCTGAGACCACGGCATGGATTGAGCCTTCTCCAGAGCTGCAAGTTTGGGTAGTGCTGTCCAGACTGGGAGCACTAGCAGAAGGAAGGTCTTTCAGCTGATATCTGCCTCACCCTTACAAGAGACTTTCCTGATGAACTACAGAAGGACAGTGCTGTAGGCTGGGGTGATTTATTCACATTGCATTGCCCTGGGCTGGGTGTGCAGGAACAGGGATAAAAGAAACTATATTAAATGTTGAAGCAGGAGATGAAGTCAGAATTATTTGAGTTTTTATTGAAATTCAGTTTACAGTGCTTTGCTTAGATAAATATTTATGAATACTTGTATTACTTGCAGATTTTTCTTACGCTTTTCTCTTACCATGAATCAAGCAGTGGTCCAGCACATGAGTAAAAGAAATATGAATACTGACCAGAGAAAAAATACTGTCAAAGATCATGAAAGGAAAAAAATTGCCAGTAGACTAGAAACCAGTCCAGCAAGGCAGGTTTCAATTTACTATTAGCTGTATACTAGGTTATTGGGGGGAAAAAAAAAAAAGGTGAGATGTTAAAATTTGAGTTACTTCACAGAAATATAAAAAAGATTGTTTTAGTTCTAGGAGTGTAGTTGATAGAGGTTTATTAGTTTAGATGGCAGAATGCGGGAAATTGCAAGTTCTGTAGGTTTGTTTCTGATTCACATTGGCAAAAACATGCAATGTCTTTTGAAGATGTCTTTCCTAAAAATCAAACCAGGTTTAATAATGGCCTTGACATCAAAGCCTATGCCTATGGCTAGACATACAAAAGTAATTTAACATAGAAATGTTGTAAAAGCATGACTGATTATGTAGTGTAAAGGATCCTTTAAGTTTTTAGTGTTCTTGCTTTTTTATTACAGTTATTGTGGCTGAAAATAATGAATTACTTAATAGTACCTTTTATTATAGGTTTTTAAATTCAGAAGTGTAGTACAGATGCTGTCACACAGGGTTTGATGGAGATTATGGGAGGAAATCAGGAAAATCTAACTCTGAATGTGTGTTTTTATTTCCAAGTTTCTTGCTATATAGCAGCTTTTCCTTGTGTGCCAGACAGTTGCTGTTTATAAACCACAAAGATCAACTCTTAAGTGCTCCAGGTGGCAAGTATTAGTGTGGCATACAGAAATCAACTCTTTATTTCATGCCAAAATTTACAGTAATCAACAAAGCTGTTCTCTGAAGAGCCCTTCACACTGTGCTTATTCCAAGACACTGAGTTTTATCTACTTAACAGTAGAAATTTCATTTCAAAATACTAATTAGTTTTGAAATTAATAATGACCTTTAGCCTGAGTGCTTAGATGAGATGTAAGTAGGAGTCAACAGAAGTACGGCTCTACATACAAACACCAGAGCAAAATGTTCATTAGCTTTGCAGTTCTTTGCCAAATTAATCCTTTAGTTGACTGAAAATTCTAAAGCAGACATTTTTCTGAAGCTCAGTTTTACCAGGAAGAGCAAACTTTACCAGGTGTTATATGTCTGGACCAGTCTCTTTGAAATAATCGATTAAGCAAAGACCTTGAGTTCATCTCTTGGCCAAGAGCTACCAATTTGTTTCTACAAAGAATACTCAGTTCATCATTCTAACAAAATTATCTTTCTCTGTGATGATGCCTTATTTTCTCACACATTTTTAACCCAGGTGAGCAGCTGCCATTAAGTAGCCCAGTTTGCAGCAGGACCAATTCTTCTTTCTGCTTCCTGACTCCTTTCTCACAGCAGCATCAGCATGGTCATAACTGCTTGCTCCTGTTGCTTCTATTGCAAACAGCATCACCATTTTTTTTTAAAAAAAAAAGCTGTAGGTGGTAAAAACATTAAGATTCACATATATGAGTGCTTCTTAATATGATTTATTCATTAGCTATTTCCACCAAATTTTGTATTTAACATTTAATATGTTTCATCATCGATGTAGCAGGAGAGCATTTGACTACATTAAAATTATAAACCAAGTACTCATAATGAATTCAGTATAATTTTTGACAACTGGCATAAGCTAAGACTGGATGCAGTCAGACAACTTAAGTGCTAATTTGCAGCTTGACAAGTTTTGACATGACAAGTGAAATTCTGTTTGCTTTTATACAGATAACCTACTGGAGACAGTGGAGAAAGTGAGATAGATTTTTGTCTTGACTACTTTTAGCGTCAATAAAATTCTCACTCAGTGTTCTTGCTCAACATGTACTTCTAATGGTTGCTCTTGTCATTGAATTCAGCTGACTTTGATTCAAGCACTATTCCATTTCTGTACCAAGTTAAAAGCAAATGAAAAAAATCTGAATTATAGTAGGTTGGATATAACACTTAAAAAAAATTTTGATCTTGGGTAAAAAATGTCCCAAGGAAAACTTACTTAAAATCACAGCATCTAATGCCAAAAAAATAACAAACTGCTGAATAGGGTGATGATAATTTGACATCACTGAAGGACTAAATTAAAAGTATGTAAGTGTTTAATTTTACAGTGTTGAATTTCATGGGAGTTTGATATTTGATTTGAGAATAATTGCAACATCTATGAATACTTTTTCAATTTAAGGTAATGATGTACTCTCATTTTTAATTGATTGCTTTATTCCTTCTGAGAATATTAGTGAAGTTGTATGTATTGTATGTTGAGATTCCTTGATATCATTGATGTAATCTTTTCATTATGTTTGTCTGAATCATTATAAATGCTTTTAAATCATGAAGAAAAAGGTTTAACTAAAAATATTTTGGTTCCACTTTCAACTTAGGTTATTATTACCCCAGCTTTCCAAGCATGGTCCTTGAAGCAGAGAGTAACGGGGAGTATAGGATCTTTTTTCCTCCTATAGAGTGCAAAACTCAGTACTGTCAGTTCAGCAGTGTGGTATGTGTTATATCACAGAAAATATCAAGAGATCAGAATCATTCCAAAATCCCTACATTTTATTGCTGTTTTTCTTTCTGTCATGGTGTTACTATCTGTTCTTTCAGATGTATTTTTAATACACACCTCAGTTATGATTGTGCCAAGTGGGACCATGGCCCTGAGCAAGGCAGTGAGATGGGGTCAGAGCAGGGAGCAAAGGCTACAATTGCAAGTATGCACTCTCCCTTCAGTCTAGCAAGTGTACCAGTTGCTAGCAAGCCATTATTGCCAGTCCCGTCTCAAAGAAAATCAATTGGTTCTGTTTCAGTTTGCTTTTGTTTCTCACTCATTGTTTCTAACATTCGTTTGTCATTTTTGTCATTTTATAGAGCTTCCAAGAGCAGCTGTCAGGATCTTAAGCAACATGACATTCCTTTTTGTGAGTTTGTCATACACAGCTGAGAGTGCCATTGTCACAGCTTTTATTACCTTCATTCCCAAGTTCATCGAGTCACAGTTTGGCATCCCAGCTTCCAATGCCAGCATCTACACTGGTAAGGCATTGCCACATAGTGTTATCTTGCAACGTTGGCTTTCACTAATGAAATGAGTCAACTAGGAATGAACCAAAAAGGTGTTTGTTCAAACAGGTGTTTGGATCCAGCTTTCTGCATTTGCTTAGATACTCAGAACATTTTTTGATGTTTGTTATATGTATATGTAAAATGTGAACTCATTTATATTGTTAAAGGGCTAGATATTTTTTTTGTATAGGCCTAGACAGATGTTTTATCATTTGTTGATGGTCTCCAAGGGGGGAAAAACCAACAAAAACAAGCTAGAAAAGCCATAGACATGACTGCAATTTGTGTGCTTTGAAAGATCTCTCAGAACTGTTCTTATTGTCTGTGAATTTTGTCTCTTCTTTGATCTTTAAAATATCTTTGTCTTCTTTCCCCCATTGAAAAGTTGTTTATCTGTCCCATTCTTCAGTTATCTCTCTCTCCTCCAAGGGTGGTGGTTTCCTCCTTATTTGCTTATTTACATTGAGACAACACTCTAGTCTAGTCCAGAACTCCCCAAATTCTCTCCTACCTGTCATTTCAGGAGACCCCAGTCTTGCATGTGTAGTGCCTCCCCTGCTGTACCAAAGTACAGCCACGTCAAACTTTTTACACAGCTACAGACCACAAAATTTTAATCTTCACACTGCTCTGTGACTGAGACAGAAAAGAACTTGCCTACTAAAAGAGGCCAAAATATTGTGCAGAACTGGGGCCTGTGTCATGCAGATAAGTTTCCTTCTCTTCTAGCTGCTTTTGTTTATAAAGACATTTGTCTTAGTAATAGTCTTTTTAAATTCTCCATAGTGCTTCTCGTATAGAATAAATGCTAATTGATAGGCAGGTTAGTTCTTTGTTCCCTCATACTTCCAGACACTGTGCCCTAGGAGTGATGGAGTGGAGTGAATTGTGGGGACACAGGTGAAGTATGGGGTGAAGCTGCCCAGGGGCATCTGTCAAAAAAGGACAAAAATAAGTAGAAGAAGGAAGGCACATAGACTTCACATGGGAAGAATTTGTTACTTGCAGTGGCTGGAAGAAATGCAAGGAATTTCTAGAGTGGGGAGGGGAAAGTCAGTGGTGCTTTCTATTTGAGAGTTTCTGGGATGAGATTTTCTTCAGGGCATGAAATCCCTGTGTTCTGCTTATAAGGAGGAAACATTGACTCATGGGACCGTGATGCTCTCTGAAGCTTAGGTTAGCTACACACAGGAGTTTTGCTGTAATGAGTCTTGATGGGATGGCTACACCATAATTTACTTCATTCTCAAGATAAACCAGAAACATTCTTGCCAGAAGAAGTACTCAGCAGCCAATACATTAAAAGAGGTAAAACTAGTGTGACCTTGCCAAAGTGTGAAGTTAATATCATCTGTTGTTTCCCCTGTTGATACTTTATCAGTATAAATTAGTGATAAAGAGTATTGTAATGAACCAGAAGAAGATGATGAAATATATCAGGCTGGATGTGCAACAAGGACAAATGAGCACTGCTTCTACAGTCCCAACTCTTAACCTTAGCATTGAAGCCAACAGTTGTTAATTTTATAAATATTTTTTGGTAGGAAGGATGGGAAAGGGAAACTTGGAAATTCTGTATTAGATTGCTACTGGCTAATAATGTAAAAGACATGACAAGTTGACAAATTTTCTGGTTAGCAAAAGGAGAATTTACTGTTATTTGCATTACACACCTATGCTTAATACACATACTGCCAGCTGAGTACATGTTCTTCCTGAATCTCTTCCTGTAAAGATTTTACTGGAAATTTTTTGTCTTTTAAGCAGCAATTCTTTAATTACGTCTCAATTTCCTTTGGTTTTAAAACAACCCTGGCAGTTATCATCATCAAAAAACACTATGTGCCAAGCTTCATAGCTTGAACTTGTGCAGCTTCTACATTTAATTTCTGCTCTTGGAGGAAAGACTGGTTTTGGTTTTGTGAAGACATAGTGTTTAGAATCTTCCTCCTGAAATGACATTTTATTCTATAATGCAGTATAATTAAGGTGCCAGCTGGTGTTCCCTCTATTCTTGCCTTCAAAGTCTCAACATTTCCACAATGTCCCTTTCATCTTTAGACATATTAGCAGAGAATGAATATTCTTTACAATAATCTTAAACGTATTTGCAAGTGATAGTCTTACTGGCTTCTTTAAGAGACCAGCATCTCTAACAATTTGGATTATAAAGTTTAGCTTCTCTGTAGATGCAGCTGCCAAAAGTAGTTCAAATTGCATGTTTATGTAGAATGAATCTTTATTGGCAAGGCCTTTAATTAAAGACCTTCTTACATCAGTGAGAAGCAAAAGATAAGGGAAGGAAAGCGTAAGACATTTGGTGACTTTACCACCACCTCAGGACCTAACAAGTGGGGACAACCCCATTTGTAATGTGTTGCTTTACCTTATAACTTCAGCAGCAGAGCAGTAGAGGTTTCATAGGCATGTCTTTGTGTCCTAAACTTACCCTAATTTATTATCTTAATTTTTTAAATTGTGTTTGATCAGTTTACACTCTGCATATCTGTGGAGAGATGAATTGGAATGCTGAGGTAGGAATCGTGGAATCATGGACTCAAGGTTGGAAAAGACCTCTAAGATCATCAAGTCCAATCTTTGACCAAACACCACCATGTCAATAAACCATAGCCACCGAGTGCCACTTCTGATTGTTTCTTGAGCACCTCCAGGGATGGGGACTCCACCACCTCCTGGAACAGCCTATTCCAGTGGTTAACCACCCTTTCAGTGAAGAAGTTCTTTCTAATGTCCAGCCTGAACCTCTCCTGGCCCAGCTTGAGGCCATTTCCTCTTGTCCTGGTTCTAGTTGTCTGAGAAAGTGCTATTCAGCTTGAGTTAAGTATCCAGAAGGCAAATTTGCAGCCAGGCTTGGGTGTGTAGTTGCAGGTGGGCAGGTTTCTGGGGTCCTGCTTGAGGTTAGCGCTTGTGCTTTGCTGGAATTAATCATGAGAATGGGAGGAGGAAGATTTGTGTCCAACTCTGGATTTCTTCACATTTTCAGTGTTTAAACTGGACCTATATGTAGCTTTTCTGCCCATTCTAAAATAAATACAAAACAATGTTTCTGCTTGTAAGTACAATAGTTCTCTTATATGCTTTGGCTGATGCTGATATGATAAGGAGGCTTTTATAAATTCTTTGACAACACTCCAGAGGTTTGAAAAGTCTGACTCAGTTTGCTAGCAGAGAATCAGACAATGGAGATCTTAGTGCAGCAGTTGCAGTCATCTAATTATGGAATGAAACCAATATTTATGTTTTATGCCATTTCTGTAGGTCCTTTTTTAATGCTGTTCAAACTTCTTCCTGGCAGGTGTGATAATTGTCCCAAGTGCTGGTGTTGGTATTGTCCTAGGTGGCTACATTATAAAAAAGCTGAAACTTGGTGCACGAGAGTCTGCAAAGTTGGCTATGATCTGCAGTGGTGTATCTCTGCTGTGTTTTTCAACACTCTTCATTGTTGGATGTGAAAGCATTAATCTAGGGGGAATAAATATACCTTACACAACTGGGTAAGTATCTTGGAATTATCTCTGTCAAAACCAGCTTTTTCCAGTAAGCCTGACCTAGAAATGTAAAAAATGCTGATAGCTGATGTACTGAGAAAGCCACATGTTCAAATGAGAATTTAGTGAGTATTGTGATATAAACACAAGCTGTTAGTGTGTGGTCTTTGTTTTTTACATCTGGTTTATAATGCAGTTTATGTAGTAACTCACCTTTTTGAGGGGTGAGAAAATGTGTTAGAATGGCCTTCAGTGATGTAGGAAAACAAGAATAATGTCCTCTGTAGATTACTTAAAATTTACTTAGTGTTTCAATATGTTTTCTGCTCATAAAAATTGTGAAAAAGCTAAGTGGATTATGAAGATTTTATTTCTGAATGGGTTTATTAATTATCACCTTAATAGTATTTTAGGTCTAGAGTCCCTATTTGAGTGGAATTGCTTGGGCATGTGCTGCTGACATTAGTGGTGTACACTGCTTATGAACCCTTTACTAGTTGTGTGAATGCCCTCCAGTGCTTGCTGGATCATCATATTGCCTAAAGTTATATACAGAGTGAAGAGGACTGCAGTGAGGAATAAGGTGTAGATATAGGAGGGACTTGGGAGTGAGGAATGTCGGCTGTGGCATTAAGAAATGCATGAAAGGGCATAAAAGGACCAAAAAGGATGTTTGGAGGAAAGGCAGTGTGGTAAAACTTGAGACATTTTCATTGGAGAGTGATTCCGTAGAAGCCTGATCATGAGCTTTTATTTTCTTTCTTACTTTGTACATGAGATTTTCCTCCAAATTGTCTTCTTCATGTAGGTTAAACACAGGAACAGAGTAAGTTTTTGGAGAGTGTGAACCTATTTGAAGCAATGTTTTTTCCCTTTGCTTTTACATCTGAGGCATGTCTGCCTTTTAATTATGACCAGGTGCTTGGTATCAGATCCATCTGTATATTTGCTTTGAGGGCTCAGCTCTGGACTCCGAATATTTTGAAGAGAATGCAGAGTGTGGAGCGGGAAAAGAGATTATGAAATGGAGAAAAAATACAGGAGGGCATAGGGGATAGCAAGTGAAAAATAACGAGGGAAAATGGGAGGAAGAAAATAGGCACTGTTTACACAGAGAATGTTTTGCATTGCTTGTTGCTGGGTGTTACTACATTGCTGTCAAACCTTAATGCTAGAGAAAAGAAAACCAGCAGCTGAAAGTCAAGAGCTGATGAAAAGCTGTTACTCCTTTGTATTCCTAAGACCTAAAGTTTGCTGCTGAGGGGCTGTCAGTAGAAGGAAGTAGCAGAAATATACCCTCATCTGAGCTTAGTGGGCTGAAGAAGGAGAGGAGAGGGATAGGATGGGGGTGGAACGCTTTGATTGTTCACCTGCTGTTAAATGTTTGTGACAGCCTGTGGGTATAGATGAAGAAATGAAGATTAATGGGAATGAAAATATAAAATTCAGATAGGAATTAGGTGATCTGTGTGGCAAGTCAGAATGTCCCTGCCTGAGTAATGAGAAGCCTGTGCCTTTCTGTTTGGAGAAGAATCCATTTTATTTAAATCTATGTATAAACTGAAGACAAGGCATACTATTGTCATGTAACTCATAGCCTTCATGCTGGAATTGTAGGAGTATCTAATTTTTCTTTAGTAAGTGATAACATTTGCAGTAAATACATAGCATCAAGAGAAATAAGCATCAATTCACAGCTGTTGTGCAAGTTTGCAGTAGCATTACTTCCTTACTACCTTAATCTAATTGTTCTTACTGAGAAAAGAGGTGAGAAATACTAATGGCAAAATTCTCACAACTGTTGATGTACATAAACTCTGAAATAAGTATAAAAATTGTATTGAATGTAATGTCATCAGAAATTGAGAATTACCAGCATGTTACAAAGCATGGTTCAGCTAAATTTTTTTAACGCAGAGATCAAGTCCGCATTTATTATCAAAATGATGGTAAAAAGGCAACACTACACATAAATTAATCTTGAATATCTGACGTGATAAGCATTCTCTTAATCCTCATGATCAATCATTTGATAGCTTCAAATCACTTATTTGGTAGGCAACTCTTTAACTCAGCCATCAGAGAATGTTATTGGCCATGGAATAAAAAAAAATCATGCTTTCATGTTGAGTTTAATAAAACACAAACTTCATTCTCTACTTTGACTGTAGTGCAGTTTAGTGATGTCAAAGCCAGTTCAGTGGGCAGGATTGGTTTGGGAAAGCAGTAAAGCTGCCTGGTTTGGAATAAATGTATTGCATGATGCTCTACCCTAACATGGCAATGCCAGGTCTGATATCTGACCTACCTGCACTGACTGCAACCCAGAGATCTGAGATGCATTGGGCAGTGTAGACATACCCTGCAGGATAATTTCTGGACAAATACGTTCACTTCTACTGTTTGTTTTTTATACATTTAAAAATACAATTTTTTCTTTGGTGAGCTGAGCCATAAACCACTACAAAGGAGAGGGATGAACAAGGTTTCAGTTAACATAGAAGTTATGTTACCTGGTTAGTACTGTGTTAGTACTGGTGCATACCAGTACTAAGAAAAGTAGGCAATGATGTTCATAATTCAGTATGTTTCATAACTCAGTATTTTTCTAACTGTACCAGCTGCAAGGAAGTGGACAGGACCTAGAGGCATGTACAGATTAGAATGCATTAGAAAGAATTTTCTGCTGTTTTATGGTGGACGCAAGCAGTTTTGCTGTTGGTGGTATGTCATCAGTATTTTTGTTCTCAGGAAGATCAAGGGTACCTCAGTATTACACATCTCAGCATTTTAGAACCTATTGTTCTGTGCCCCAGCCTTGTTCTGAGAGCACGTTTGATATTTGAATTGTAGCGTAAGGAGCCTTATGTCAAACCACAATATAGCATCCCTTCTCCTGCACCATAACAGCATCCAGGTGGGAAGTGACTGAGTGAATGGTCTGGACAAGAGTCCAGGTGGCTTTTAAATATTTCTATGGAGGGAAGCTCCACAGCCTCCCTGGGCAACCTGTGTGACTACCCAGTCACCTTCCCAGTGAAAACTGTTTCACGGTGTTTGTAGGGAACCTCCTGTGTTTCAGTGTGTGCCCACGGCCTGTCTTCCTGGCACTGGGCACCACTGAAAAGAGCCTGGGTCTGCCTTCTGTGCGCATCCCTTCACGTATTTGTAGGCATTGATGAAATCTCCCTGAGCCTTTTCCACACTGAACAGTCTCAGCTCTCTCAGCTTTTCCTCAGATCCTCCAGTCCTTTCATCATCTTAGTGGATTTTCAGTGGCCCCTACCCAGTACACACATGCATGTTTCTCTTCTACTGAGGAGCCCAGGACTGAACCCAGCATTGCAGGTACTCACCAGTACTGAACAAAAGGGAAATGGCAGACATCAGCTGCTTTGTTCTTTTTCAGACCTGTCTCTTGCATGTATTGTTGTATAAGGCAGCTAAAGCAGCCTCCATGGTGAGCTTACTCATAGTGACAGATTCCTTGATTAGTTCGGTTCCATCTCTCACATTTCTGATATGTAATGAATCAACACAGACTCTTTTTGATTGCTTTGTGTTGTTTTGGTGCAATTAAAGTTTAGTTAAAGCGTGCAATTGGCTTACTGAGGTATTTCACATAAAAAAGTATTTCTATTCTTCCTTCTGTATGACCAGTATTATTATTGTATCTATTTCAGTCCAGTCAGCCAGTGGTATTCCTTAACTTGAAAGCAGTGACTAATTGGATCAGAACAATAACAACAAAGAAGGAATCCAGCTAGCACAGTGAGAGGGTCCCTTGTTTGACAGCTACACAAAAATTGCATCATTGCTGCAATTCCAGCTGCTTCTTCACAAGGAGACTGCAGATCTCTGCCATCCAGAGTACCAAATAAACCAAAAATACTGCTATCAAATTAAGATAATCCTTTTTATCATATAGCCTAATATTAAGATTATAGAAAAAGTGTGGTGAGGTTATCTCCTCTTTTTATTTCCTCGGTCCTCTACATTACTAGAGTGATATCAATAAAACCATGTGCAAAATCAGTTATTTGTTTAGCTGTTATCAAAATACGGTTTGACTTTCTTTTCTTTCTTTTTTTTTTTTACTGCATTTCATTTAAATTGTAACCTTGTGGGAAGGGGGTGCATTTTTTCCCCCCACAACGTTTGTTCATTGACTGTCAGTGATGTTTCAGTCCAAGCCTGAGTATGTGAAATAACAGGTCACAGGGCAAAGAATTCCAGACAATAAATCTCATTGTAAATTTTCTCTTTTCTCACTTCACTCTTCTACCACAAACCTTCCCTGGAGTAATAGTTGGAGAGAAAAACACGATTTAGAAAAAAATGTTAGAAACTAGAGTCCTTTACATTGTTAGTCACATCAAAGGTCTTCTCTTTATCAGCTTTACTGGCATTTTGTCATGGAGACACAGAACAGTTTCCCTGAGAAGTGAACAAATGCAATTTGTCAGATAGGGTTCTGGGTTTTGTCTGAGCACATGTTTAGCAAACTTGCAGTTGAATCTTATTAATGGAAGGAGCAGCATCCTTGTTTGTAACTGAAAGAATAGTTCAGGAAGTGCTGTCATTTGGGGCTGGTTTCTTTTTGTGTGCATGACTGGTGTCCTTGGCAGCTCAGGTGCAGCAGTGTTGCAAGTTGGCTGTACCTGCGCCTGGTCAAACAAGCAGAGCAGCTCTTCCTCAGACATGCCATGTTTCTACAGCAGCTGCTGCATTGAAACTAGGCTGCTTTTCCCATGGATCAGCTCGTGAGCAGGACATACTAGCTTTGGTGCAGTTTCCCTAAGAACCTGTGCTTAATGGCTGATGCAGCTAAATCTGTGATGGGCTATACCAATTCAGGGATAAGTGCTTTGTTTTCCTTTGTGGAGAGTAGGCAGCCTTCCAGTACCAGAAGACAGGATTAGTAAAGTACTTTGGTTCAGCTTACTTTCAGAAGAATGCATACCTTCAAGAAAAAATGATTCCTTCCTGAAATAAGTGTTCAAGAAATCTGTTGTATGTTGTAGTATGTGCTGTATGGTTGATCCCATATAATGAAAATGGGGTTACACAGACAGTTGTTAGTAGAGATTTCCTGTTCCCAGCATCTGAAACTCCTTTATCCTTCATTTGTTTCTCACCACTGAAAGAGGAGTGAAGAGTGAAGGTAATGAAGATGAAAGCATGAGCCTCTTACAACTGTCTGATAATGAACTTTTGGAAATGCAGTTAATTGATGATTTTGTCTATTAACATGTTCTTGAAAGGATGAGAAAACCCAAATCTCTCTGTGTTCAAGGTATTTGCTCTAAGCAACAAAAAGAAATTCCCCAAATAAGCCTTACAGTGATATGCTAAGGATAAAAAGTGGTGAAAGCTGGAGAGACAGAGCTTGCAGTAACTTGTTATTAATTTGAACATATTTGTTCTGTGTATCTGTAAACTTCAGTCATCTTCCAGGACAAACAAAAAAATGCCCCTGAGATTAAATTATCACAGTGCTCTCAGTTCAGTTTCCAGTTTCATGCTTCCCATTTCTTGCATGCCTGATTTCATTCACCGTTTTTTTTTAAGCTGATTTCCTAACCTCTGTGTCATGGTAATGTTCAGCAGTGCAGCTGAAGTGAGTTAGCTACTTAAGCAGAGCCAGACAGGGAGTGGGTTCTCTTGCCTGTGGAACAACCCTAGCCATCTGTTCCTGAGAGGGGTTTTAGGTGGTGGAGGAATAAGAGATGAGAAGAATTTGTGCTGCAGGGTGAGAGAGGTTGGAGAGTGGAACCTGAGCTGTGCCTTTCCCGACAGTCTGGGCTGTCCCTGGACCCGGTCCTGTGCAGTGTAGCAAAGCCCTGTTGTCAACAGGAACACGGGTGCAAGGGTTTCCCAGGCAGGTTGTGGAGTCTCCCCTTATGCCAAGTATTCAGGCATCTGGGACATCCAGCTCAGCAGGCTGACTAGGATTTTGTAAAACTAAAAATGCTGCCTCTCCTGTTGGTATGAAAAGCTTTTGTCACTGTGCTGCTGAAATTTACATGTTCCTGAGGAATGTTTGGATGGTTTGGTGTTTTTTCCATTAGAGAAAAAGTTCTGTTGAGAGACTACTGGAAAAGTCTGCCCGTTGCTATATGATGTGTTGCTGCATACTGCTTATTGAAATTCAGCAGGATATAATATAACAAATTTCAGCTGATAGTTGAGAAGGTGACAGAACCAGTAGTAGTCATGGATATTTGACTTCCTGCTCAAGCTGCAACTTGTTTCTAAAAGTGTACTTTGTTTGTTTATGGAGCAAGAAACAAAACACTCAGAAAGGCTTTGGTTAGCATCCAACTAGACCACAAAGTGTAAAGTAGTTCCAAGAGCTAAATTTGTGAACCTGATTTGTGTGATCAGTAGACAGTCAATAAATATTTGAAAGCTACTTAGTAATATTTAATTGTCTGCAAAAGTGCACAGCTGGGAACACAAGCATATTCAGCAAAAGCAAATAGTGGTGTATAAATACAAGAAAACCAGTCAAGTGGAATCCTCTGAGCAGCAGTTGTGCTACTGAGTGTCACTAATGACAGGAGGTGAGGTGACACAGCGTGGGTGACAGTCACTGTGTGCAGAGTGGCTCCTGAGCCCAGCCTCTGGTCTAGTCCGGGGTAGAAAGTAGGAACAGAAGAACATTCCTTGTGGTCCCTGGGATAGCTGGGATGTACTGTATCTGCTGCTAGTTCTGTTCACACTGGCCTTGCCCACATCACAGACATGAAGACAAGCCAACAGCAGCCCTTGTGAGGCTCTGCAGCCATGGCAGTCTGTGAGCATGTGTGCAGGATCTTGAGGATGCAGCCACAAACCCAGTACGGATTCTGTTCAGCTCCTGCCTGGCTGAGGAGGTGCTGAAATTCCCTGGATAGCTACTGATCTGCTCAGAGCAGAGGTACTTGAGGTAGTTTTAAACAGCAGTGGCCATTGAGCAGTACTGAGAGCAGGGCAAACAAGACAGAACAGTTAATTCGGTATTACACTGTAGTACCTGGTGTGGAGTGGTTGTGCATTCCAGTATAATTCTCAGACATTAGTATAGTTACCAGTTCTCAGGGACTACTGAAGTGAAATAAGCTACTGTCTGCAATTTGGCCAGAGCTCTCAAAGACCAAGCATAGATTTATGTGGTGTTAGGGAGCCATGTAGGTACAGGTGTTTAAGCTGCCTTGACTCAAGGATGGGAAGGAAGCATTTGAAATATGTCCAAATCCATAAGGGATTTGGGCTTTGGCCACGTTTTGGGGAGTGGTCTAGGGAAGCAGAGTGGTGATTCATTTACAGACATTTAGTAAAAGCTTAGCAGTCTTCCACATCTGAAGAGCTTCCTGTAGATTGCAGATACTTGTATATGTAATACAAGCATTGTTTTCTGAAGAGCTGCTGGTATGTGGAAAAAGATGCCTATTAGTTCACAGAACCTTTACATCTTGTCACTGAGTATTTCATTAGTAATTGTCAAGAAATTACTGCAGCTTAGAATAGACATACAGAATAGTAGTGTCTTACTTCATAGAGGAAAAAAAAGCAGGGGAAAACTATATTTATCATGTAGCCAAATACGATACAAATTTTAAACTTTGGTATTATTTCTTTTATTGTGTTTTTAGTTGATGGCAAGTATGACTTGGGTGTTCTATATTGTTTACATCATATACATAACCTAGAGTTAATGCAGTCTTTGATAATCAGTTCTCAGCTCCAGAGTTAATGAGTAGGATGTTTGTTCCTTCTGTACAGGAGAATATGGGTATCTGTGTGTGCTCTACTAGCATGTTCTTTTTCCTTTCTTCAGTCCCACTCTTGCCATGGCCCACAGGAATCTGACTGGAAGCTGTAATGTTAACTGTGGATGTAAGATTCATGAGTACGAGCCTGTCTGTGGATCAGATGGAATAACGTATTTTAATCCTTGCTTAGCTGGCTGCATCAATAGTGGAAACCACAGCACAGGGGTAAGTGTTTCACCCACCATCCTCACACAACCCCTGAGTAGCCCCTCAGGACCCGTGCAGATGGAAGACTTCTCTTTTCCTAGCTTAAGCATCCCTCCTCTGAGCTTCACTCTGCAGGTGACTGGTCCATTTCTGAGCCTTTCCATGATTTGAAAGACTGGAAGTGCTGTTATTGCATGGTCCCAACCCACTTCCTTTAGTTATGTACCAACTTGAGGCACAAGTTCATTTGTACTAAGTGAATCCTCCAGCTGAGTGAGTGCAAATGCCATGGGATAGGGAAGGTTGATGGTTCCTGTACAGACCCCAAAGACCTTGGTGGCAGTGACCTGCATTCCTGTTGTTCCTGCAGGGCTTGGAGAGGGTACTTCGAGTCAGTGTTGTCTAACTCAGCTTTCTGCCAACATAGGCAGCCATGTCAAACTGTCTTTCCACAAGCTCAGTCTTACCTTTTAGAGCAGTTTGGGGTTTTTTGCGACTCTCTCTCTGAATTGAAGGAAGAACATAACTCTTCAGGTAGTTGGAAGTGTTTTAAACTCATGTTTAAATTTAGTTAGGATTTGTTTAAAGTCATAGGTGTGTGCCTCATCATTTTGCCCAAGTAGCTCTTGCACCTGCACCAGTGCACTGGTAGGTCTGGGGTTTGCCTGGCTAGGTAAAGACTGGCTGTGCATTCTGCTCTTGTAAAGCATTTCAACCAGTCCCATGGCCTTTTTCTAAACCTCTTCCAGGTTAAATGAAGGTTGTCATCAAACTCAAGTAACCAGAACTTAAAAGATGTTAATAATCTATTTTCTTTCTTGGAAAAACATTGCTTGTTACAACCCAGCATTCTAGTTATGCTGAACTGGAGAAGGACATCCTAAAACTAAACCGTGGAAATTTGGCAACTTCCAAGACTGGGCACAAGAAGACAGTTGAAAAGTAGAATCTGACTTAAGTATCACCATTATGGTTGTATTAGCTTGCTTAAAAATTTAAGGAATTAAATTCTTCTGTTGAAGAAGTGTCCTTTAAAAAAAGATAATTAAGAAAGACAATAAGTATTGTAAACTTTGATTTTCTTAAGGCTTGACTGTGCTTTCCAGAAAGTTTACTTAAAATCAGTCTCCTGATTTGCAGTTGTGAGCCAGCCTGTGAAGCAGGAGGATGTTAGTTCCAGCCCTGTGTTTTCTCAGGTCACCTGGATAATGGTCTGAAAAACTGTGTTCATACATAGATGTCACTGAGAACAGATTAGTTTCCCTTAACCTTTTTTTTTTTTTTCCTTTTTAGATTATCTTGATGGTTTTTAGTAGAAAATTGTTTTGACCAATTAGAAAAGCCTGCAGTGTGAGCCTGTGGTTAAATTTCAGTGTCTGTATAATCTAATTTGTGCTTTCCTGGATTGAGACATAGGCTTGATCTTCGTTGCATTTCATCTGATATTGAGCTGGCACTATTAATTTATTTAGTAGGGCAATACTCTGGGGGTATGTGCTCTTCACTACAGATTTTGAAACATACTACACATCTTATGATTTAAGAAAAGATGTTCCATGGCCTGAAGTTTTAACTCAGTAGCTAATGGTGAACAGAATAGGGCTGACAGTGCTTGGCAAAGGCTTTTTTTTGGATTAAATAATCCTTTTTGTATGATATCTTTAAAAACAACAAATGTAATTTGGCGCCACTGTATAATACACAAAATGTTGCTAATGTATAATATTTGGATTTAAAGTTATAACATAGTGTTTTCAAAATTAACCGTTTAAAAATTCAAACTAAGAGGAAAGGATACCAGTGTACAGTTCATACCTGTTTTATATATATATAATTTATACATATATATATTCCTATACTCTTAATATTTCTGCCATGCTATTCTGTCTCATTTAATACGCAGACTTAGTTTTGCTGGTGATGAACCAAGATTTTATAGTAAAGAGATTTAATTTCTGTAGGATTCCTATTTGGTGTTTGCATTTGGAAGCAATAAGGAATTTTGGATGAGGTACCCTAAAAAGAAATCAGGTGCTCATGTGATGTTAGAGTGGAGTGCTGCCATGGGATACCAGAATCTATCATTAGCTTTGTTTCTAAGTGATGTTGGGCAAAACTTCTCCCCACTGGTCATTAGCCTTGTATTCTTCATGTTCTGGATGAGGAACATGAGCAGCAACCAGAAGTGTCACATGTAGATGAACTGGCTAAATCTGTATTTGAAGGCATGAAAAGTTACATTTAGAAAATATTTAGTTGGCTATAATGAAAAATGTTCTGAAAAAAAGGATTTCAGTTGTCTCAAATTAGTCACCCATGTTTGTGAAATCTTAGATCCATTTCAGTTACTTAACTAAAAAATAGATATAACATCAATACCTCATAACTTGAAGATGACTCCTTTTTGAAAGGGTTAAGCTATAATATAGTGAGTGCTATAGAAAATCCAGATGAAATATGGGTAGTTCCATCTTTGTAGTGGAATGTCCTTAGTCTGAGGGAAAAAATACCTGAACTCTTATTTTGAAATTGGGAGATAAAATACAGGATAAATAGATACATAATTAAGATGTTCAGCTAAATCCCATGGGAAAAAAAAAGAGTGAGTCTACATCGTGGCATGGATGCATATAAAGGTATATATTAAAATTGACAGACAGCTGTGATTTTGATATGTCATGATATTTAAGTGCTTAAATTCACTGTCTTAAGATGATTTTGTACCTTCTGTGCCTGTGGTCCAGTGTTTGATGAATGTAAAAACGGAAACAAAAAGCTCCTTCCTGTAACATAACATATATCCTGGCCAGTTTATTCTGTGGCACTGGAATATTCTGATCTGCTGCACACCCCTTTGCCATACATTAGGTGAAAATAGAAGGAGGGTAAATGTGAAAGAAGGCTATTTCTGATCTAGCTCTTCCTCCCCTTGTTCAAATCACAGTCCTGTTTGCCTGAGAATTGCTACTTCTTTATATAGTCTCTTCATTTTAATTTCATTCTCTTTGTCCATTCAGGAATCTCTTGGTGAGTCCTCAAGTCTCACTGATTTAGTCTCTGCTTTCCCTTTACTCTCTGTTTTTGCTCCTGCCCAGGTCTACACCCTCATCCAGGTGGAAGGTCCTGAGCTTCAAGCATGAAGTGCACCTTGTGGCTGTTTGGCCAGATCTGGGTAGCCTTCCATTAACATGGCAGAAGACACTGCCTGAACATGAAAGTCAGCAGCTTGCTGAATTTCAGAATATGGCATTGTCACTGCTGCCTGAAGAGCATTTCCTCATATTTTTTGTAGAAGCATTTTTCTTCAGCCTCCCTGTCAGAAGTGATTGAATTGTTTTGTCAATATTTCCCAGATATATTCCAGATATTTTTTAAACTCAGACTAAATAAAGTAATGGAAAGGTAACGTCATCACAGAGAGTCCAAGCCAGCTTTAAAATTACTTGGAGACGTGACTTTGCTTGTGCTTGGGGTAATGATGCTCAGGGCAGAAGATTCTGAATTGAGGACTGCCACAGGACTGTTGTATGACATCTCTTTGCAATGTGTTTCTTACATATATTTTTCACGTGGAAACGTTCCCTTTTCTTCTCCCAGGTCAGGAATTACACAGAATGTGCCTGTGTGCAGAGCCGCCAGGTGATCACTCCACCGACAGTGGGCCAGCGCAGTCAGCTGCGGCTGGTGATTGTCAAAACCTACCTGAATGAGAACGGCTACGCTGTGTCTGGGAAGTGTGATCGGACCTGCAACACGCTCATCCCATTCCTCATATTTCTCTTCATTGTAACCCTTATAACAGCATGTGCCCAGCCATCAGCAGTCATAGTGACACTCAGGTGAGAACTCGGTTACGTTTTGTAAGTAATTTTGACGTGCCCGCTATCACCAGTGCCTGTAATGCTTGTGTATCCTTAAAAAGCGAATAGAATCCTTATGTAGCCTTAAAAAGTGAAAGAGCTGACAGGGACAGGGTGAAATCTAGGTTTGTATTTAGAATATGTAATATGATAATCCACTTTATGAAACATGAAGTGCGCAGTAAATTCCGGGTGCTATGAAGAGAAAAAAAGCAAAACATCATAAAAGAAAATGATTACTCCTGAAAAATTTTCAACCTTCTTAGAGTAATGGTTTGGATTTTCAAATGCAAATGAAAAAAGTTAGTATTTAAAGTCATCCTTTTCTCATTCTTACAATTGCTCATTCCTGCCACATGCCTGGTTTTGAGACTCCCTTTTTTATCTTCACAAGAATTTTGAACTTCTACTGTAGTAGTGGTGTTATTGCCACTGCTTTAAGGATAGAGAGCAACACAGCTTTGTAGAAAAAATGCAGTGGCATTTATTTGTCAATTTGAAAAAAGCATTCATATTTTCAGATTGGCTTTTCCCATTTCTGCCATCTAGTGTGATCAACATATTCATTCCCTGTAACATCTTTGTCCATTTAAAACACAGTTCCTGTAAGTGAAGTTCTGCTGATTTTTAAAGAAAAGTGAGCTGAAAAAAATGTAATACGGTCTACTGCTAAAATCAATTTGTATTTGTTTAATCTATGTTGCTGCTGTTTAAAGAGAATGAGGACTTGGAGGAAAATTATATAATTATTTACTAGAATTTACAAAGCATACCCATAAGCATTGGTTCTGCTGATAACAGGAGGACAAAGAATGGTTTAAAGATGTCTGTTTGATTTGGGATCTGAAGGGGTTTCAAGGGACATTAAAATTACCTAGTTCCAACCTTCTGTCGTAGACAGTGACATTTTTTCTAGACCAGGTTGCTCAGAGCTCCATCCAACCTGACCTTGAACTCTTCCACAGATGGGGCACCCACCACTTCTCTGGGCTATCTGTTCCAATGCCTCACTGCCCTCATAGTGAAGAATTTTCTCTTAATATCTAATCTAAACCTACTCTCTTTCAGTTTGAAGCCATTGCCCCTTAGCCTGTCCCTACATGCTCTAGTAAATACTCTCTATAATCATCCAGTCCAACTGCCTGGCCATTGCAGGACTGAGCAGAAATGAAAACCTGTTAGTGAGGGCACTGTCCAAACTCTGACAGGCATGAGGCATTGACCACCTCTCTAGGAAGCCTCCTCCAGTGTTTGAGGTACTCTTCAGAAACACACCCAAAATGATCCAGATGCATATGAGTATCCTGTCCATGAGACCAGGTTAGAGCTGATCTGAAGTAAATCCCTACAAATGCTTGAAATGCTTGTGGTGTTCATGTCAGGTCTCAGCACTAGCTGTTTAGCTGTATTAATTGCTGACATAGAGACACCTTTTGTCCTGGTTTTGTGTAAAATCTGTCCTCAAAGTGAGCTTTTTTTTTTTTTCACCAGTCTTGCACTTTTTATTTCTGAGAGAATGGTCCTCCCAACCAAGTAGGATTTCCTTCTGGTAGTGTTGTCTTTAGAGCTTCATTCTGATACTCTGAGACAAATTTAGGTTCCTCTAAAAATAATAATAATGGCAAATCTTTGTACTAGGTAATGGAACTTTGGAAAACATGAGGCAGGTCAGGACATAGCATTGGTATCCTTAGGCTCAGTTGTGAGCACAGCTGAGAAGCCCTCTGGCAGGAATCTTTGTCTCACCCCCTCCAAGGACAAGCACTCTCTTGCTGTCATTTTCTCCACTCAGGTGACAAAGGTTTATGCAGCAGCCTGCTGCTGACACGAGGACTGTGCTGTGTCACTCTGAGGAATTTTGCCTTCCAGTTTGCTTTTCAAAAAATCCACAGGATGGCTGTAAGGATCACTCTTGGGACATTAAAGCCAGGCACTCGGGGCTGGACATACCAGAATTCCAGCTGTTCAGCCTTACCTCAACTATTGTGTGCACAGCACCATTATAACTCAGAGACTTCTGACTTTAGTTCTTCTGTCTCTGGATTTCCCATATGTAAAATAATAGTAATAAAAAAAAAATATTGCCCTTGCATTGCAATTAGCAAAGACAAATGAAGATGAATATTGCAGTGAATCTCACAATAATGAGGTACATAAGGGACATCTCCAACAGGATTTTGCAATGCTCAGTACAAAAAATGGGTGCCCACACACATGGGCAGTGACACCTGCTGTCCCAAACCACCTGCTGTGCTTTGTGCATTGGTTAAAGGTCTGTGGCCCAGGTTGGTTATCCAGTTTCTCAATTTCTTGCAAAACTGGGTTTCACAGCTGCATTTCTTTGACTGCAGACTTTTTGTGTATTTTTATGGTTTATTTCAATGTCATTAGGAGCTGTCTATCTTAAGACCTTTAGATTAAGAGTTAAAAATTTCCAGTCAGTAGATAATTTGTGGTTTATTAAAATTGTAGTTGAAGTGTGGAATTTTGTTACTTTGTTTTTAGTCTTCATAAGCTTGATGTAGTTGAAGTGTGGAATTTTGTTACTTTGTTTTTAGTCTTCATAAGCTTGACATTTTTCCTTTGAAGCCACTGAAAGGAATCTTATATTACTTCAATTGAAAAGGTACTTAAAGAGACTGTTTGGATGTTTGTACTGAAATTTTTCCTAAAGTAACTCCAAAGTGCTACACAAAGATTTGTTAATTCAGAAGCTGAGTCCAGCCTTCAACAATTTAGTTACCTATTAATTCTAATTTACAAAAAAAAATAAAAAAACAAAGACATGAAATAATAGAAAGTTATCATGAGAAACCACAAAATTTTGTGTGGATTCTCTTAATTTCCTTAATGTGTTTGGATCAAATTCTTCAGGCCTCACACAGGTTAAGAAAGGTCAAAAGGCATGACTGAGATTTTGATTAAAAAGGTCCCAGAGGGGCTGACTGTATTTTTTCCTAGCAGTAGGAGTTAACAAGAGTAGAAACTAAAGAGAAGAAATTTAGACATATATTTTCTATAGCTGAGGAAAAGGCCATGAGGTAGAGCCAGGGTGATTATCAGTTATGACTGTTTCTTCACTGGAGTTTTCTGTTCACCTGCTAGGTCTGTGGAAGATGGGGAGCGGCCCTTTGCACTAGGAATGCAGTTTGTTTTATTAAGAACTCTTGGTAAGTCTTACAGTAGCTCAGCATTTCTATAAAGGCCATGTTCAGCTTAAATGCATCTTAAAAGTACTAAAATACCATAAATATCCAACTAGTTGCTTGACTAACTGTATTAGGAACCTAAAATTAATAACTTCTGAGAAGATTGCATCTGAAAATGTGGTTAATTTATTGTTTTTGGTTACTGACTTTCTAGAACAACATTGTTTCACGGCAAGACAAATTTTTACAGTTTCTAATTGTATTTAAAAATCAATAGTTACTAAATATTATTTTATAGGTATTTTTTATCTTTTGAAATCAGAATTTTGTTGCTTTCAGCAATAACAATAGTTTTTCCAGTTTTTGAAATAAGCATTTGCTACTTAATGTCTCTTGTCTAATATTTAATGTCTTTCAAGTGTTTCAAAGCAAAAATGGAATCATGTTAAAAGTCTTATTTTTCAAAGCATTCTTTTTCAAGTTCTTGAATTTCTAAAATCCTGCCCATAAAGAACATTGCAGGTGTTCAGCTATTATAAAATACATGACTATAGCAAGCAAGGTCTGTTCCAAGAGAACAAGAGAAGCCCATAAAGCTGCATCTTGAAGTTTTGTTTGAGGAAGGATGTTTCAAACATATCTTAAAGATGTTGTATTTCTTGAGAAAGCAGGAGCATTCATTGGACTGGCTGCATTTTTAGCTGCCTTAGAAGTCAAAATCTGTTTCTTGGGAAGATCTATTCAAAAGGAAATTTGTGACCTTAATGGTCTTACCCCTTACATCTATCTTCAAAAACATTTTGTGATCTTCAGTGCTTTTCCACCTTAATCTAAAAACAGCACCTTTCCCAGCTTATGGGCAAAGGATATTCAACAGGTAATGCTATGGAGATAATGTATTTCACCTTCTGTCTTCCTGAAAGCAAAACTGGATTTTTTTGGGGGGACAAATAGCTCAAGAAGAACTGTCTGGAGACAGCAGATTGAACTACCTGTTTTAAGGTGCTGCTGCATTGGCTTCTTTGAATTCTTTCCCATTTGTGGTAGGTTTCCTGTGTGAGGTAAATAGTATTGGTGGGAAGATTGGCTGGCTGCTTTTCCATGTCTTACATTTCGTGTGAGAACAGCAGTGCAGAAATCTCAAAAATGTTCAACCTACACTCTTTGGCTGGGGCATATAGTTTCTTTAGAAGTTTTCCACAATATGCTAACACATATTATTTCTCTTGCTATTTTTGTTTCAGCTTACATTCCCACTCCAATTTATTTTGGGGCTGTCATTGACACCACGTGCATGCTTTGGCAACAGGATTGTGGCGTACAAGGGTCTTGTTGGGAATACGATGTCACCTCGTTTCGTTTTGTCTACTTCGGGTTGGCAGCTGCTCTCAAGTTTGTGGGATTCTTTTTTATTTTCCTGGCCTGGTATTCCATAAAGTGTAAAGAAGAACAACTGCAGAGACAGAGTTGGAGGGCTTCGCCGGTGAACACTGTGAGTGAGATGGTTGGACAAACTGGACCCCAACAAAACTATGCACGGACTAGATCCTGCCCTACCTTCAGTTCCCAAGGAGACATCAGTGTGGCACAAGGAATGAACTGCTTAGCACAGACCTACCCCGGCCCTTTTTCAGAAGCAATAAAGTCCTCAAATGAAAATGCATTGGAAGAAGTCACTGTTGAGATATAGACCCCTGGCTTGGTAACGTAATATTTAGTTTTGTTGGTTGACTTAGTTACGGCGCCTTGTAAAACACCTGTGCCTTCTATTTTTAATCTAAATGTAACACATGATAAAACCAACAAAGCTTGATGCAAACAACCATAATATAATCCTGAGGGCTGGATACCTCAAACCAACCTGAGTTCTTATTTCTCCCCTCCCGACAATGGAGTTTTAAAAATTGTGTTTGTAATTATTTCAGATGTGTCCATTAAATGTCCATGCTCTGATCTAATATCATTGTAAAGATGAGGTGTTACAAACAGCGTAAGTCAGTGGAAGAGTGACAAAAACTCATGTTGTTGATGTCTAGACTCACAAAAATGCTTAAATGTATTGTCAACTTCATATCCACAAATTGTATTTTTAATAGATGAGTAATTACTGTGAGTTCTGCTACAAAGCACAACTGAACTTATTTAAACTATGCAACTTACTTGGATAATTGTATGTGCAGCAAATTAAGTTTAAAGCTTGCTTTTAAAGACATTACTGCAACTGAATTTGAAAGGGGCTATTTTCAGGCGTAATCATTAAAAAATAACATAAGGTTTAAAGTACTGTTAATAACATGTCAAGCCATACAAGAGTTATGCATCAGGTAATGTTTGCAAATCTTGAGTTGTAACATCTTTATCTTGTCCAAATGTGCATTAATTTTCACTTGATGGGATGTAGTCATTCTTCACAAAGTACATAGGATACTGTAATGCTTGAAGTAAAAAACTTCAGTATTGGTTTATAGTAACATTAGCATGTAGGAATCATACACACATACCAGAGCAGATATGTGCATATTTCTGCAATGTTATTTGGGTGACTGTTACTAGCACCAAACCCATACTTCCCTGAAGAAGAAAACAGCTGGTTATTGCTTGATAGGAAGTCAGAATTGTGTGCCAGTCTAGTTCAGCTTCAGTGGGAGAATCCTGAGGGAGAGCTGATGGGCTCATCTGGGACCTGGCGGGTCCCTTGCAGCCTGCAGCAGCAGAGTTGAGGCTGCAGGAGTGAGCCCCCCTCCAGGGGCAGCCTGCCCACCCTGATGCCACCTAGGAGGCTGTCACTGTGCTCCTGACACCACCCAGGCACTGAGCACCCTGACTCCCAGGGCAGCTGGGAAGGGAGGGCTGGCTCAGACACCCTCGTTTCTGCTACACTTCTGCCTCTCTGGCTGCCTGGTGCTGGGCAGACTGGTGGGACAGGCATGGAGGGGGTCCTGGTTGTGTGGTTTGTCCTACACATCTGCCTTTCCTTTTCTCAGCTTCACTGAAAGCCCTTTTGAAGGTAAAGGGGAAGTTTGTCTCTCCTTTGGCCCTCCGGGCGAGGAGCTAAGAAGAGAAATTACTGGCAAGTGTGGACTCACAGGATGTGATGTGGCCTTTGCTTATTCCAAATTACTGTAGTGTGTTCTCTCCCTGGGAGATGCTGAGACTTTCTAATCAAATGTGCTTGGCATTTCATTTCTTCCTCTTTGTAGCTTTGTAGCACCATGCTCATGAGGTACTAATGATGTCTCAAAGGGCAGAAAATTATGTCAGTTGGACACTGGGAAGTCAAGGCAGTACTGTGCCCTGCAGGGGAAGTCTTAGAAGTGTAGGAAATTAAAAAGCAGTCTTTTAAGAGGACTCAGTGATAGTCTAGTTTGGATTTTGCTGAGAGAGAACTTGTGTGAAAATAAACAGGAAAGAGCAGAGCTTCTACATATTTTTGAACAGTTACTTCTGGTTTAATTTTTCAATTTAGAACATGTATACTGATCAAATATTATATGGAACCAAGTTCTTGAAAATAAAGGCAGTACTCTCCTTGGCATCCCTAGAGTTGTACTAGGAAGAGTAGATTCTCTTCTCTGCCTTTGTCAATTGCCTTTTGTCATCAGCTGGATCCTCTTGACCAGCACATTGGACTACCCATGGGGCTGCTTATTTCAGAGTATCTCAGTCCATTTATGTAGTTTATAACAATTCTTACTCTTCCTGTCTGAAAACTCTGTTTCTTCTACTCCAAACATAGAAGAATATTGTTTTGATCCCTTCCTGTGATTTTGTCCATATGAACAGCTTTTTTTGGCTTAAGCCTGAGAATGTCTTTTCCTCATATGCAGCCACCAGATATGACATGTCCTCGGTCAGCACTCACTGCCTGAGATAATTGGCTTCTACACTTCTTGTCATGAGTAATAAATTTCCTTGGCTCAGAGTGGTTGGTGTATATAATATATTTGCTGTAGGAGATCAAAATAGATGATAAAAATGTTTCCTTTTGCTTCAGTCTCAAATGCTTGTTGCATCAAGAATTTTCTACCTTGGCAAAAATTGGCAAAGTATTAGGACAAAGTGTAACTGCAGCTCAGCACTCGTCCATTTTTATCACTTCCCCACTTTAATCATCACAGAGAGAAATGAAGAGTGACAATCTTTTCAAATACCTCAGAAAGAGAGCATTTAGGGAATTGTAAAAGATTGAAAACTAATCATCTATCCCGATCTCTTATATTTCATGCCTGTGTGCTTCTGTTCCATACAAAAACCAAGGGAGAGCAGATTAGGATTGTCAGGAACTAATGGCACTGATGCCAAAGAATGAGAGTGATGGAAGTGACACTTCTGTAGCTACTGCTGTTTATGGGCTTTCAGGGGGTTTCAGGGCTGGTTACAATGGAGACCATCTATTTTTTAGGATATCCTGACCCTCTGACTTCTGAGAACATTCATATTTCCTAAATGTTTGAAAAAGTGGAATGTACAAAGAAATGTTAACTTCAGAAATACTGAAAAAGCCTTCTTTACATACTTTCAATTTTAATTTTTAATTAGAAATTAAATTTTATTTTTTCTTTGAGAATTACATGCAAAACAAAATGTAATTCCCTACTTTTCAAAGAAATTTCTTCCTGGTTTTAGGTATAGATAATTTTGGCAAGGCAAATAAATTTCTATAAAATCAATTAAGTCAGCATCCTCTGAAAGAAGAAAAAACCCAAACTCTGGACAGTTTTTGATTGATTCCTGGAGGAGAGTTTCTCCTGAGTAATCTATAACAGTCTAAACTAAGCCAATAAAGGAATGCAGGGGAAACACATTCACTTCCTAGAAATGTCAATTCCAGCATTGTCATTGACTGGTATATGGACTGAGACCTGCTGAACAAACACTGTGTTCTGAGGCTGTCATTGCTGGAGGAAGCAGAATCTCCACACATGGAGCACCCTTAGCAGTAGTTGTGGTTGACACATGGTGCTAAACCAACTTCAGAGGAACTAAAAATGAACTTTGCCCGTCATTGGGTGAAGGGACCCATGCTGTCTTCCTGCTGTGACATCCTCTCACCATAGAACATAAAATTCCATTAAGTTGTAATTTCTGGCACCTTCCCTCTCTGTCCCTAAACACAAAAGGTTTGGTAGCAGTGAATACAGGTAAAGGTGAAGCAGGTGTCCTGGTTTACCCACAGGCTGTTACTGCTAGCAAACCCAAGTCACCTGCCTGCAGCTTACCAGCCAGTGATAACGTGGAGCAGCAACATCTGGTGATGATCTAAGTGCCACCATGCCCTCATAGGGACACACTAACTCCCTCTTCCACCACTTAGTCATGATTTAGAGTGAGGAACGTCAGAGGAGAAGTAGCCCAAATATATGGACTTGAGTGGACAGGTTAATTGTCCCTGCTTAGCCTCCTCAAAAGGTTTTGAGGAATTTCCTCAAAAAGGAGAAAATGTCAGAATGGATGCAGCCATGGCTTTGGGCGCTTATGAATGTAGCACCCTTAGGAGATAATTTGTAAATTATTATTCCAGAGTTGGAATAATCTGGAGAGTGGGACTCTCCATGTTTCCAGTTTTAGTCAAAAGCATTCTGGTTTTAGTCTCCCTTCTTCCCCTTGAGCATACTGGATAAAATATGTTACAATTTGGAACCAATGACATTTTATAGTCTTTCAGGACAGTGTGAGAAGCTGCAAGAAACTTTAATTATTATGGTGCAATTTGTATTTATTCGGAAACTTTCAGTTCTTTGGCCAGTCTGTATATCTTTAAAAGTGCATGTAGCAACATTCAGAATTTACTGTTATGTGAATGAGGGCACAAATCTCCTACTAGGTATTAGAAATGTACATTTGAAAAGTCCTAAATTAATTGCAAACACTTACTATAGTGTTTTCAAAAATATGTTTTTAATATTTCTTATTGATTTGTAGTATTAGCTATTCATTCATTATGTATCTGATCCAGAAGAACACTTACATATGTGGGTAAATTTATATATTTAAGCAATGCACTCGAAAATAATGCACATATATACTCATGGGACTGAATCCTGTATGCATTCAAAAAGAAATTCCTTTATTCAAAGAATATTTCTGGGTTAGTGTCTGCCCCAGGGATTCAGTGGTAATTGTAACCAGAGTAGTACAAAGTAGCACTTGAGTACTCTCCTGTGACATTCAGGTGTGGCTACTTACATACCCAGCAACGGCGGAATGCTGTCACTTTCAAATAGAATTCAAATTCAAAATATTTTGTGGGAATGGTCTAAGATTCATTCTCACTCTTCCTGCCATTCGCTTCTTTTATGAATTTGTGTGTGAAAACCTGTGTGTTACATGAGGAGATAGATTAAATAAAGGCATCCTTCTGACCTTAGAGCCAATGAAATTGCTCAAGTAATGCTGCAGGCTCAAATTGTGCCCTTTCACAGGATTTGGACCCAGAGGTTCAGACGGCACATTGTCAGTATCCCGCACCAAATGGAGCAGAGCACTGCCTGCTCAGTGGAACTTCAGAGAGCATGTCTGGGACAGGGGTCAGCACCTTCTGCACTCTTCTTGTGGGTTTTTCCCCAAAATGCCTGAATAAACGCTGCCTTACTACACTTTTCTGTGCATGTGATAGCACAGCTATTCATGGTGTTATATTGACATAAAACTGATAATAAGTAGGTCCAAGGTGTCTTACTGCTATTTTAGAGCCAGATTCTTGGTCTCACCAGTCCAGTGTTGAGGCTGAAGAACTAGGCCATATCTTGTGTTGGAAGTTAACAAGCTGATGCTTTAGCAAGTGTGTATGAACTAGGGAATATCAAGCTTGTTTAGCTTTTATACTCTAGTCACTGGTTATTACTACTGTTTTTGGAGATTGAAGACAAAAAACTTCCCAAACAGGTTTATCTTTTTCTGTTTTTTCAATAATGTGTCTTTTACAATGGCTTAGGAGATGCCATGCTGCATGCTTCAGAATCTGGGTTCCCCCAGCTGAAACCATCCAGCTGTGGTTGCTTTGCAGGGGCTTAAAACACAGAGATTTACCAGGACTGTGACCTGCATTGTCATTGCTTTGGACAGAGTGTTTGCTACTTAGAGATTAAACCTGTAATCAGCACATTTCAGGTTCTTCACATACTGGACTTGATTCTTTGGATGTTTTCATCACTTCAGAGTGCTTAGAAAATGGGCAGTCAACATCATGGTGGTAGATTTATTCCTTGATAGGGAATTAGGGCTTTGTTCTTCTTTTAACATCTTGTTTGACAAATAATTAAAAAAGATTGCATGTAAACATTGTCACAGAGTATAGATGTGGAGCCTTCAGTGTGAGGATAGGATATGGCCAAGGTTCACATGATTTGTCTCCTTTACACTGAATATCACTAATACATGTTACTTTGTGGCCAAAGGTTTGAAAGCCTACCTGATCCTCAGGAATTAATTTTTTCCTGTATTTTCCTCATAATTTATTGTGTAAATTAAGGAGGAAAGTTAATACTACCCATGTCATGTGACCATATCTGTTACATTAAACTGCAGTTAATAACTACAGTTAATAATTTTATCAGTCACCCCTCCAGTCCTTCAGTTCAGCTATTTCTTTTTTTTTGTTAATACAGCCTATTAAACATGTAGCTCTGCAATTTCAAAGTAGCTCCAAAGTCATCTTGACTTCAAGTGTTACAGAATAGATGCTTGTTAATCCAGGTTCTGTTCTACTTTTCTAATTATTGCATTATCAATTGTGTGTATTGTATTTTTTTTTTATTTTTTCAATCTCAAACCAGTTGTCACAATGTTATCCTGTAACAATGTTTTGTTCATTGCATAGAATAGGTGAAAAGCTGTGGAATTAATGAAGGGCTACAAAAAGCATCCAAAATATTGTTCACCTTGAGGAAGGGTGAGACAGCTTGATAATCTCTGGACAAAAGACTAAACAACACTGTGGTGCTAATAGGTACTGAAGTATTTTATGATGTGTTCACTATGACTTAAGTGACATATTCAAGGCATGTCAATGATGCAACTGCATGTGTTTCTCTTCCTAAAGTCTGGACTGCTCTGACAAAGTCAGTGTTTGTAATTCCTGGTGGGCCAATTCCTACTTAGCTCTTCCATAATTTCAGGAGTTTGTGTGGGATTTGGCTCAGCAATATTAGGTAAAGTAAAAGCTACACAGACCACAGAAGTCTTGTGTGGAATGTATTCAGCCTGCTGTAGCATGTTACTTTATTTAGTTGCTTTGCATAAGCAGGGGCTAAATATAAATTCTGTAGTAATGATAAGAAACACTGGACTAAATTCTGGAACCACTTAACCAAGAAATATTAGCAAGCATTTGAATTAAAAAGAAGATTGAGGTCTGAAATATGAACGTTCTTTCATGGAATATCAGAAAAAGAGGGGTAAAATAAGAGCAAATTCTATCTCTAGGAATGGAAAAAGGCCAAATCTGGCTGACTTTAAAGTCAGCTATGATTTACAAAAGGGGAGTTTGGTTTTAAAATCTTGAAGACAAAATTTCCATTTTGAATTCTGAACCATAATTGTTTTGTGTTATTGTGCCTGGGCTGCTCATGTAGGGCAGGTGTCTGTATTCTAAATAGCACTAAAGCACTAATAGCACTAATCACACTTCTGACCAACAGGCCAGAAACTTTGCCTCTGTAGCAAACTCCATAATTGAAAACTTGGAGGGAAATTTTCGTACAAAACAAAAAAATACATATGAAATGATCCAAAGCTGAGTTTTAATAAAAAAAGAAGAAAATATTGCATCTGTGAGATCCACGGTTGAGTGGAGGCTCTCCTGAGAGAAGACCTGCTCTTTTCACCAGCTGAGCACATGGGAGCTTGGTCCCTGGCTGCAGTGCATACCTCTACCAAATGATCTGTGCAGAACAGCAACAGTCTGGGTAGTATTGTAGGAGCATGGAATGGGCACACTGCCTGTAACTGTTTAGTTTTTAAAAAACTCATTATTAAGCAAATGTGTAGAGTATTAAGGAAATTTGTAGAGTATGTCTGATGGTATGAGTGTGTGGGTGCTGTGCTGTGGTAAAACGAGAATAATTGGTTTATGCTGGGTATTTTTGCATACTTTAGGCTCCTGGTTTTTTGGTTTTTTTTTTTTTTTTTTTAAATTTATATTTATTTCTCAGCAGAGCTTAGAGTAATTTTAAAGTTATATAACCCATGATTTAATGAAACCTACTGTCAGCATCTGTTGTAAACATGTGTTTACAAAACAAACTCTTGAATACTTGATACTTGGAAATAAAAAATAGCATATCATGCGTGTTGATTTGGTCCAGATCCTCTTTGATTTCAAAGTAAGATTTACATGTTTTGATTTCCAGTACATACAACCACACAAAAAAGCATATTTCAGATCCCCCTGCATGTCACCAGTGTCCAAGAGCTGTTAAACCAAGGAAAGTGGATGAAATTAGATTCGTAGCACATCTCCGGTGCGGTGGCCGGTGGAAGGCTGAGGAGAAGCAGCCCTCGGCTGGGAGCCCAGGGAAGGCTGGAGGCTGAAGGAGAGGCGCTTGTGGCGTGGCTCTGCACTGACACCTGCTGCCCGAGCGCCTGTGCACACACTCCGGGCACTCCCGGGCTATTCAGGCTGTGACTGCATCCCCTCACCTGTGACACACCATTTCTGAAATGACCCTCTGGCTTGTACCCTATTTACTGCACATCGGTTCACACAGAGCACACAAACAGGACTGGGTTTTGCTGGAACTAAAGGAAGAAGTTTGTTACAACATCACACGGACCCAGGCACCCGCGGCTGCTCAGGGCTCAAGTCTAGTCCTGGGCAGATCTTCCTTGGACAAGGCTGTTGCACCTCTTGGCTTCTCAGCCTTAACTGTTTGACACAGATCCTCTCTGACTGTGCTTGTGTGACCTCACTGTAGACAGCTGCAGGCATTTCAAGGGATTTTGGTTGGGAGAGCAAAGGTGGTCTGTGCTCAGACCTTCCCTCAACTGTCACAAAAACCTACAGGTGGCTGAACTCCAGAATAATGCTCTGATCTAAATGCTTGTCTGTTTGATTGTTTTTTTGCAAAGCTGCTAGTGTGCATTTACCTCAGTAACAACAGGATTCACCTACTGGTAGCAGCTCTAAGTCATGTCCCTGCCCATGGTAGGGTTGGAACCAGATGATTAGTAAGGCCCCTTCTGACCCAAGCCATTCTGTGATTCTACATCTAGTTCTGGAACAGAAGCACTACACATCTTTTCTGCAGTGCTTCCGGTTGCTAGGTGGTCTCAGAACGTGTCTCACACTGTCCAAGGATGCAAGGACAATTCTGTCTGCCTTATCTTGAATCCAGATGAAACTTTTTACATAACATTGCTACCTCCCGAAGATGTGCAAGTTTTAAAGTTCTTCCTGTCCATCTCCAGGGGCCCTTCAGAAAGTGATAAACTATGTACTGTCTTTCAGAATAGACACATCTCTACGACTCTGCAGATCACATAAAGCCACAAAGGTCATTCTCTTGGCCCTCCCCCATGTGAGCAGCACTTGCCAGATTTAGGTACTTGCTTCATTCCTGAGCCTGCAACTGCCTGTGAAAGTTTCCTGACATGCACTGCTCATGGGCTTGACTGCCTCAGCTCTGGGACAAGAATACTGTGCAGAAAAAAACCCAAAGCACACTGCTTGGGCTGCATACTTAGAGATATGACAGGTTTTGGCCTCTAACTTGGTTTAGTTTTATATTTGGTGCATGTTTCCATGAGAGCAAGGAGCAGAGCTCATTGCTGTCCCTACCTCTTGCCTGCAGAATGAGTGTCCTTTATACTTTCTTTCCTCCACACTCCTCCTGTGACAGACCTTGTAAAAAAGGCTCCCACCTAGTTTAGACAGTAGGACAGTGTTTAGGTGATAGTTTAGATATCTGAGTACTGTCCTAGAAAAAGGAAGGTAGACAACTTTCAAACCAGTAAGATGCTCTTTCTTCCATTTCCTGAATGAGTACCTCAAGCTCTCGGGTAAGGAGGAAGGACAAGTGGGGTGAATCGATGGACCACACTGTTGCACACCTCTACCTTTGCCCCAGCATTAAGAGAGAAAGCAACTTGCTTGGTTCTGTCAAAGAACTGTACTTTCAAACCCTGTAGGGTACATTGTTGGTGCTGGATAATTCCCTGCATAAAGAAGAGGTGGTTGTGTGGGACCTACAGTTTGCTTTTGTCCTTCAAGTCCTCCCAAGCTCCCTGGCTCAGCCTGCTGTTCACCCTGCTTAGAGATACACCCTGTGCTTGTTAGTGTGCTTTCAGGGCTGACTTCTCTCAGGGCTCTATCTGACATTGCAGTGACTGCTTTTGGAACACTTGGATTCATCCACTTTCCTGATCCCCACAAACATCACCTGTAACTTCATGTCTGCAGGAGCATCAGCGTCTATGTAAAAGAAGAGTTCAAGAAGCATGGATTCAGAGGCTGAGTTCAGGTATGAAAGTAGTCTTATTCACAGGCCATCAAACAAACACAGAGTTCATGTAAGAGAGAATTTAGCTTGAAAGCTAAATTCTTTTTCGTGCTGACTCTTGTACAAGGAGACACAAGTCCTGACTAGAGATGTGGGGTTCACTCTTGATGAGAGCTGCATGTCTGGTCTGCAGTGCTTTGCTGTCACAGGGAGAGCTGCGCAGGGAGGAGAGAAAGCAGCAAAGAGAGGGCTCCATGAAACATTGCATTACTTCTGGGACCTGCTGGTTGTGCAGCTCAGTGCATGGAGTTCAAGGAAGAAAGGACCAGATGAATTTGAAATTAAAAAAAAATTAGAATCACAGCATGTCTTAAACAAAAGAAAATATATATTACTCACATCTCCAGGAATAATTTATACCTAACTGAATGTTGTGTGTTATTTTGTTACCTGTTGATTTTAATGTAGATGGATTCTTAAAACTGAAACTGTTAACGTATTTTTGGAACAAAACTTACTCAGGAGGAAAACTGGATCATGTGGACTTCTCTGAAGCAGGTAAAGTAAAACACTTTTTATTTCAAGAAATATTGCTTCTAGACTTTCCCGAAGCCAGAATTGTACTATAAAAGTATCACAGAAATATTATACAAGATTTAAAAACACAGTTTGTATCCTAGTAACTTAAAACCTATGTACAAATAGCATCATTCATGACCATAAATACGTTTTTCTATCAATCAGCCCATGACACATACATCAGATAAAGAACTAGTAATTTTAACATATTTACAGAGTCCATCAAAAAGACTGCTTCTTAAAATTATTAAAATCCTACTAAAAGAATCTCCTTTTTAACAAGTTTCAACTTAAAATACAATGTAATGGATGTAAGTTTAACCTGCAGTGCTTGCAATAGCAAAAAAAAATAAATTCAGTACACTAAATAACATGTATCGGGTAGGAAACACACCCGTGAGTTGGACACTGTGGAATTACATCTGTTTGAGGTAATTCTCTTCTGTTGCTGTTGTGATAATTATTTAGAAATTTATAAAAAAGCTGGGGAAAATATTGAGTTTTGAATAATACAGATTTTCAAAGTCATTTTTATATTATACTTCATACAATTTAATGTTTGGTAAAGTTCAAGAAAAAATTTAGAATACAACAACAAAAATTATAACTAAACTACTATTTTTTACCCACATGTGCCTTTTGTGTCTAAAATAATGGAAACCTAACATGATTTTATCATTCCCTTTAATGCCTGTTCAAAATGAAAAAAGAATTTAAGACTCAAAATGATAATAATGCTTTCAAGATATTGCCCAGAATAATAAAAATCAGGTGGAGTGACAAAAACATTTATGAACCGATGTAAACTTTTCTACCAGTATCAGCAAAAAGAAAAAAAAAAGTCAGAAAAATTAATGGCATTTTAATACTGACAGTATCATCATATAGGGAAACAATCCAATTTAAATGAATCCTTCTACAGTTAACAATCATTAGCCATACCTTTCTGAGAGTAAATTTAATAAAGCAACAAAAACATGCAATATTTTTGCTAAAATAATATTTGAAGAGTCTGTATCCACAGTCCATGGTGTTTACCTCTTTCAGGTCAGTCTGTTTATTGGTTTCACAATTTCATAGGACAACAAGCAAACTAAGAACCTGTGAGGTATTAGATACATAAATGGTATGGCATACAGGCTTTGAAAGTGCATTTTACTCGAAAGCATGGCATTAAGAATTGCCAGTGGTTAAAATAGTTGATGGAAAAGATATTATGCAGGCATACTGGGTGAACTGAAACACTCAGTCATGGTGGGATCATTTGGAAACAGAGAAGGTGACTTGGACATCCTTTTTGAAGAAATAATTTTTATCTTTCAGAAAATGTGCTACTGCATTTGGAAGTTAACACTGTTTCTTTTAATGGAAACCTGGAAATCTTGCTTCCCAGTGTGGAGAATTACAGTGAAAGCATGTGAATAAAAAAAATGCACAGAGACAAATACTGAACTGGGCTCAATTTAGCTGCAAAACGTATCTACAATAAACATGGAATGTCAGTTGTCTTGATTACCTTTATTAGTTTGCTAATAAGAAAAAGGAGAACTTATTTAATGGTTTACAACTTTGCCTAATCCAAGGAGAGTGGAGCTGAGGCACTGCCTTCTGCATTTAGGATTTGTGAACTTTCTCCTGCAAGACTCTGTTTGGTTTTTTTAAAGAAAGTTCCTTCTTCCTGGGTACTGACAGGTGAATCCCTAATGGATATGTTTACAGTCTGATGAACGAAGGGTTCATCAGACCTCATGGGAAGATACATTTGATCTTCAAATATATCTTCCACAGTGTCACTATCCTGATGAATGTCTTTTTGAGGAATGCTGATGGGCTGTAGCATGAAGCTATGCCGGGACTCCAACTCTATCAAACCGTTTCCACTGAAATCCATATCAAAACGGTCCGATTGTTTATCTTCCATCCATTTCTCAGCTGGATGACTATTTCTCCAGTGTGCATCATTCAAACTACTTTTCTCAGGAATATCATTGTTTAATTCAAGTTTCCTCTCCTGACTTAAATTCACCGTGCTCAAAGCAAGGGCTGCAAAGTCTGTTGGCGCAATAAGCTGCAACTCTTCTGCAGTCAGGCCGCTGGATTCCTCAGCAGAGGTCATTTCCACCAAGGTGAACGGCGTGGATGATTCGGCCCCATTGCTTCGAGCAGTCTTGTCCTTGTCTGGTTCATTTTGCTGGTAGTAACTGTTCAGCAGTGCAAACATTCTATCTACATCCTTCAAGTAGTTAGTCCAGTCAGCCAGACTAAGTCTAAAGTTGTGTCTGTATTCATATACACTTTCATTCACACTGTACAAGTCTTCCAGTCCTTGCCAGTCAATGTCGCCAGTGAAACTGGGCAGCTTAGCCTTCCCATCCATCCCATAATTGTCCTCTGTTGAAAGAAAGAATAAAGCCTACTGATGAACACTATTAAAGGTGCAAGCAAAGCTTCCATGTGTTTGAATTGGCTTGAAAGCACCACTGCTCATACATTAGGTAGCTCAAAGTGTAAGACACTCCACCTCTTCTGTCACCAGCTGAATGCTTCTGGCCTTGGATGTGCTCACAGCCCCTGCTAAACACACAGCAAGAACTCCCCATCTCCTGCTACATCCCTGGGTTGAGTGAAAAAGCAACAAAATCTGGTCTAATGGGGCTCTGTGGTGTCACTCAGAGATCAGTCTTTCCTCTGATATTTCAAAGCAGGAAAGATGTTTCAATGAACAAATAATCCATCTGCCTTTCCTGGGCACTCCAGCAAAATATGCAATAACCAAACAATGGTTGAATATAAAAGAGGGGACTAGCTCTGAAAGCCATTGGTGACCTGAACTTCAATGCCCTCATGAGTTTTGTTTCTGGGTAGCTTAAAAAATGTGGTCTACAAACTAACCAGACACATTTTATTTAGTAAATGACAGCCAAAGGGGGTTTTAATCTGTTTTGTAAACATACATTTTAGTTTGCATGGAGCAATTATGGGAAATAAAAGCTGTAAAAAATTGGTGTGAATTAATTTATAGGACTGCACCACTTCATAAAATAGTGTGAAATATACACAGAGAATCTTCTTAAGGTTTTGTTTTTTTAAAAAAAACTTTCAAAGAAAATATCAGCCTTTTCAAATAATAAGTCTGAATAAAGGGCATAGATATGGGTCTATAAGTAACAACAGAGCTGTGTTTTTTATTGATTACAGCCAGAAAATGCTAAGTCACAAAAGAAACCCATTTCAAAAGTATTTTAAAAATTCACTACAGCAACTATAGTGACTCAGATTATCACCTGTGATGTGAAGCTCATGTTATACTGAAAAGTAACACTGAACAGCACCATTTTATTTAATTCATAATACCTCTTCTTGTACCTAACTGAATTCATGGGGAAGATTTTATTAGCAAGGTGGTCTACAAGGGAAGATGAATCAAGCAATGCAAATGTTTGTCAGGGAAAGTGACAATTCTGGCCTTACAAATGATATTGCAGGCAATCTTTAGTAATTAACTCACTGATAACAATTTATTATCTTAATGAAAATTGTACAGGCAGGTAGGCTAGTAGCAATTACTTTAGAATTTCAAGTGGTACAGTCCAACCATGTAAATGGAGCTCAAAACCTCATCTATATTGAGCCCTGCATTCCCAAAGATGGTTCTTGGCATCTCTTAATTTGTTTGTATTTTAAGTTGTCCTTTCCCATTATTCAAGTAGAACAGAAGATACAATTTCTGTATATCATAGATTACATTCTTTGCTTCTTACTAGCTTGGGATTTCACAGTAAAAGAATTTCTCCAATATTTAGTCCATCATATGGAAGTCAGAAAAATACCATTACAGTCAGAAAAAAACCTTGAGATTTTCTTACAATGTGAGGCCTTACTCTGCTCCCACCAAAAGGAGATCACTTTCCTTGTTTGAAAACAGATTTGAATCTTTGCTCTTAATTGCTCTTAATTTGCAACCTAAAATTTAAGTATTTTATTTTTTAATATCAAATCTAGAATTTATTTTTTTTGGGCAAACATTTGACAATCTTTCTGATCTAGAAAGAAACAAAAGCTTTTTGGACTTGGTAGAACAGCTATGACAGAGCATCTTCTTTCTTTCCTGAAGTAGACAAGAGATATGAAATCATGGCATGGCCCAATGAGAGACATCTTTGTAAGTCAAATTATGGATAATTTGTTTCCTGAAACAAAAGATAATTAAGTAAAAAGATAATTAAGAGATTTCAAGAAATAAAGTTTACTATTCTTATGCTTAGAGGCATAAAGGGCCCTAGAAAACATCATGGAGGGGCTCTGCTTTTGCAAGGAATTTAGTCACTAAACCCTCTAAGACATTAACCACACTGCAAATGCAACAATATTTAACTCTTTATGTCAGTATTTTTATTGGCAGTGTTTGTTTTTTTTTTTTTTTGCCAAGTCAGATCCTGTATAGGAAAACAAACTGTTGTAGGGACAGTCAAGTGGGTTGGTATGTTATGGCAGGAACTGAAACAGAAGTGATGCTGTTTGACTGGTAACAGATTTAGGGACAGACCAGGGGACTGGGGGTCAAAGCAGGAGCCATAAATGTGCATTTGGGCCCCAGAGGGTCTCTGCTGCCCATCCCCAGCAGGGGGACAGAGGCTTGGGCTGGATGTCAAGTTGGGCAGTGGGGAAGTGAAGAGGAACAGGGTTTCTGAGGAGGCTCAGCAGCAGAGCAAATGGGGTTGTGCTGCACAGAAGTAAGATTAGCAAGGAGATTGCAGTGCTCCTACAAAATAGCTGGAGGACTGAGTCAGAGCTACATGGTCCTTCACTCTGGATCTATTTTTTGCTCTCTAAATGTGGCACAGTTTCTGCTGTCTCAGAGAAGTGTCATAGCTGCGAAGGCACTGGGAATTGTTCCATGATCTTTGTGTCACACAGAGGAAAACAACTTGTTTGAAGACAGAGATAATTTGTATTCATACATGTTAAATGAACAGGGAAGCAAATTCTTAAGGTTCTAGAGCTATTTTGGTTGACTGAGCAAATTACTTCACGGTTTAGTTCCACAACTTGCAGTAAGCATGAAAAGTTTTCCACTGAAATTAAAGCAGAGGGAAGAGGAGAGGAAAGAAGAGGTTTTTCCCCTGTAAGAAATTTTGTTACAAATAAGCAGGAAATGGGAAAGTGTAGATGAGTTGCATTTGAGAAACAGCATGGCACTGGTTTCCTTGATCAACATTTTGGAATTTCTCAGCTATGATATAGATCCAAAAGAGAAAAAAAAAATGTTGCTAGCTGTTCACAGCAAAACCTACTCATTTTTTTTTATTTTATTGTTTGATTGTTTGTTTGTTTGTTCATTTTTAGATCA